GGGCGACTGCGCTCATCTCATAGTTAACCGCGCAACTCGAGAGCTATCGATGCCGTGAGTCATGACTTGGCCACGACATTCAAAGTAGCCGTGTACTTTTATATACATTGTACATATCATAGGAACTGCTCAGTAATGTCGATGAGCCGCCGTAAAGTAGCTCGAAAATTAACTCACGCTCGACCATATAAATTCTCACTCGTAATCATTCGCATCACATGTTGTTTTTTCTTACATCTTCGCTTGGCAATGAACTCCAAATCAAACTATTGTCGCGTCGCGACTTTCAATGCGCGATCGATGTAAACGGTGAGCACGATCAGTGCACCTATACGAGAGAGAACGAACGGGAGAACAAGAGAACACGATGCGGTACACAATCGGTCGTGCGATATCATAAGTAAGGGGTGACTTGGATGATGGCGTATATAGTGCCAAAGTCGTGCGTCGCGTGTCTTTCTTGAACTCTATTATACAGCAGTGCGATTCTTGGTCGTGCGCATCCGAAAACATCGATAAGACGAACTTACTCTTGTATTCGTTTAACATCCGACGATGCGAGAATCGTCATTCGCGCGATGCTGCACGTGACAACGCACGTAGTCATAAAAGTACAAACTTGTTAATATGTCTTCGTTCAAATGAAGCAAATGAGGCAGTCGTCGCGAAGTGCTCCAATTAGCTCCGTATTTTTGTACCCGCTAAGCAGCTTGTAAAGTTGAAAATGGAGTCGAGTAATGGGCCAAACTGGCTATATGCAGTGCACGTTGTGCAGTCGTACAATGTACATCGAGCAGCAGCGAGTGCATCGTCGCGGCGGTATATTTGCTATAGGCCGTGTTATACTACTACTATTACTAAAAGCACCATATATACAAGAGAGATCCGCAAAAAGCGGATTCGAGCTGCGCGCCCGACTTGCGACTGCTGCTGCTGCCTCGACAGGTAGAGTGGGGATAGGAGACCTTGAGCGGCTGCATCACGTGACCCCAACTGCGGGTAGGGCGCCGAGGGCCTTGACCTTAGTGCGCGCTCTCTCTTCTCTTTCTTCTTTCTCTCTTTCTTTCCAGCTCGCCGATGTTGCATGGCGCACAAGAGAGAGAGAGAGAGAGAGAGAGAGAGAGAGAGAGAGAGGTGCACAGTGCAGCGTGTAAAACGCGCGCAAATGAAATAAAGAACCCGGCCGGAGTCTCCAAGCTGCGTGTAAAAGCTGTGCTCACTCGGCATTGACTATATACTATAATATGCATCGAGGATCACACGACCAGCCACTTACGTACAAATACATATTAAATATACGTGCGTACGAGCTTTAGTGTGTGTATATTATACAGTCGTCCCTGTTTTTACGCGGTAGTTCCGTACCAAAAAAGTACCGCGTACAAAAAATCGCGTAAAAAAAAACATTGCTCTTATGGGAAAAGGGGGGTTACATGCAAAGATGTGACAAATTATCGATTTCCAAAACATTTTATTCAAAAATACATGTAAATGTTACTTAAAAAAATCAGTAACGCGTGTCTGTTTAGCACGTCTCATAATATTTTTGTGTAATTCAACGTAGGCAGTCACAGCAACTTCACAATCATGCTTAAATTTCATGCTACGCACCATGATCGGATCATACTCGAGGGCCACATCAATGGCTTTCTGCATCAAACTTAAGAGTTTTTTTACATTTGCCACAGTAAGCGTCGGCTCCTCGGCTGATTTTACTTCGTCGCTTGTTTGTTTGTACATGAATATAGTTGATTAACAATAGAATAAGCGATGATCATTGGCGCTACTCGCGAAGGAATCCGCGTATAATCAAATCAGTGCGCGTAAAAAAAATTTTTTCGGTCTCAATTCTGTAACCGCGTATAATTGAAATCGCGTAAAAAAAAGCCGCTTAAAAACAGGGACGACTGTATAGGAGAGCTGCAGCAGGTCTCTGTTTGTTTGAAGCTTGCTGCACGGGCTATCTGCCTCTCCAGAGCTTGTGGGACGTTTTTGAACTTTTTTCCTCTTCTTTATACCGCAGTTGTGTCGCCTACACGCGGAGGACTCGATTAGTCGATTCTCCGAGCAAGGCAGAGCTCGGCACTCTCGGCTACATACAACGGCGGCCAGTTTAAAAAACGCATAAAGAAAGAAAGAAAGAAAAAAAGAAAGAGAGGCCCCGAATGCCTGCCTGCCTTTGGTATTCTTGACGGAGTGTCTGTGCACTGCGCGCAGCGCGACTCGAGTATTTTATATATATATATATATATATATATATATGTACGTTGCTCGGCTGCAGCAGCCTGAGCTACAAAAGCGATTAGCCAGGCCGCATATATACAGCGCCGCTGCATCAACATGGAACGGGTAGTAGCCGCTGATGGAATGTACGATACGAGAAACTCTCATTACTCTCTCTCTCCATCTCTCCTTTTGCGAAGGTTTACCACTTCGTTAGAGCTCGCCGGTTCATCATCGTTATTATCATCTTTCTTTCTGTTTTTTTTTCGTCTCTTTCGAGCTCGCGCGCAGTGCCTCGCTATACCATACACTGTTGTATACCTACGTGCGCTCCGGACTGCACTACACGACTATCTTCTCTCGCTCTCTCGCTTCGATCTGCGCTATATTCTGCGTATACGAGTGTATGAGCTGCGTTTCCAAGTGAGCTGCGCGAGTTGAGCCGCGGCGGCCTTCGAAAATTGATTGAAACCGGCTGATGCCGTTGCTGCTGCTGCTGCTGCTCCTCTCGCTACCATGCGCGCTCGCCCCCACGACATTGCAACCATATGCAACAACCTCCGGCAGCTCTCTGCTCGCTTCTTCGCTCCGCAGCTTGCGCGGCAATTTTATATCCATCGTCGTCGTTTTGTCTCAATATCGAGCAACGAAGAAAAAAAGAAGAAAAAGTCTTAAAAATTACACGTATTCATTGCGTCCAAAACTTTTCTTACTGACGCGAGAGCGTCGCCATGGACCACAGCGCTGCGTTATGCCGTATGTATAACCCACCCATACATAAAAAATTTCTCTCGCTCGCTCGCGCCAAATGAATCTTTGCTCGTGTGTGCATAAAACCCTTTCATCTTCGTCACATACTATGTGCGAGCAGTGCGTGCCGTGCGAGCTGCTGCGACTCGTCGAAGGACTCCGAAAACTTTGCCTCTCTCGCGCGCGCGCCGCGTCAACGAGCGAAGGAGGAGGAGGAGGAGAGGGGCATGCTCGAAGAGAGTAGTAGTAGTAGTAGTAGTAGTAGTAGTATGGCAAAAGGACTTTACTCGCGCGCGAAGCACAAAGAAAAGAGGCGTGTGCATATATGCTACATGCGTGCACGCGCGAGAGTATATATGTGTGTGTGTTCGCTCACTCTCTTCTCTTGCGGTTATATACCCTTTTTTTTGCTGTTGTACTTTCTTCTCTTCCTCGTCGAGCGGTTGCCCTCCGAGTGCTTATATATATACACACTCATACAAACGTATAGAGCCAAGAAGCCAAGCGAGTCCGTAAATGCCTCGGTGTCCTTATTTATACGTGCGCCTATATACCTTTGTATATGTGCGCGCACACGTATGCTTACCGTGCAGCATATTATAATAATAATAATGATGCAGCGCTGGGCCGGGTGCGGGTGACTGTGTCGTCGCTCTTGCAGTCGCTCGCGCGCCCAGCTGAATAAGTCCCCTCGCGCGCGCACAGACAAAAACACGCTGACGAATGCGCTGCACCGCACCGCAGCATATGCATGCATCTTATACCTTCTTTCGTTCGCACAGTTTGTGTCTGTGCGCGGATCGAAGGTATTCTACTGCGCGACAATGACCTTGGACGCACGAGTCCTTCTTAGCCCGAGCTTTTGCGACTCACTCGCGAATACCGCCGCACCGAGTGCATATGCAAATTATATCGATCGATTATAGCGCGTGGCAAAAAAACTAAAAACAACGTATCTTTTTTTCTCTATTATATGATTAAATGCATGCTTCAATACGTGAAAAGATATTTTGTGTGTGTGTGCGTGCGAACGAATCAAGAACTGCGTGGAATTCCCTTTCCTCTCCAACGCTCGCAAGTGCGCACGATCGAAGGACAAAATCGACTCGCGCGCGGCTACCATTAAAGCAAAACGAAAAAATAATAGCGACCAAAGGATTTACATACGTACGAGCACACTCTCCGCAGTTGTGTACCACGATGAACCTACAGTTGTAAGGTACACACACGTGTGTGAATATCGCTTATTTGCACTGAAAAGAATCCATCACTCAAACGAGAGTTGGGTTCAATCTAAGTTTTCAATAAAATTTTCATTCTTAGATAACGAGTGCTTATATAAATCCTTCTTTTTATCCTGCTTTTGAATTTGAATTCTTGAATTATCTCATTTATTAACGTCTTGAAATAATTGTTTGATTACAGGATAATCGATGGTTCCGTATGGCAACGATCTAAATTGCGGTACTCAAGGTTGAAAGAAAAACGTCAAGTTCACAATCTCGCACGCGGCAAAGCAATCGAGTGGCCGGGGTTACTCTCGCGGACTCCACGAGACAACGAAAAAAAAAAAAAGGACAACGGTCCGCGCGGGGATCCAAGGATATTGAGCCAAGCGCGGAGAGCTCAGGATGCTGCTGAGCCAGCGATCAACGTCATCCGTGTTACAATACGGCATCGTCATCGACGGCGACAACAGTCATCATCATCGCCATCATCAATACAAGCTATTGCATACAAAATCATCGGTAGGGATATAGATCAAGGAATTTTTTCGCTCGACTTTTATGCGACAAATTTGACCGAAAATGCCATATGTCTGCAGTCGAAACAGCAACGAGCGGAGGACCACTGCAGCGACGACGGCTGGCTAATCGAGGCGAAAAGTAAAATCGGAAGACTCGAGAGAGTGAGCGATACTAGCTGAGGATGTCGGAACAGACGGGATCCTCTACGGCGGCTGCGGCTGCTGGCTCGGGCGGCGAAGCCTGGTGGTCGGCGGCGGCCCAGCAAGCACAAAGCCCCGCCACAACGACGACGCAGTCCTCCTCCTGGAAGTCCATGTCGACGACGAATTTGTCGAGCCACTCCAGGCTCCATCATCACCACTTCGAACCGGGCAAAAATGTCTCGGTGACGACCATCAATGTACCTCCACCTGTTACGAGTGACTTGCACGATGGTGAGTGCATCGTTGCGAACGATACGTCAAATCGTTCGTGCGCAACTTTAATTAACGACGTGCGATATTTTGCAGGTAAAAACGTGTGTAAATACGTGAGCGGTCAGAACGGCGTTACCGTCTCGGTCGTGTCGAGCTGTGACAATAACAGTAGAATAAACAGTAACAGTGGCGACAACAGTAGCAGCAACAGCAACAACACGACGACGACGACGACGACGACGACGGTCAGCTCCGTCGTCGAAAGCAGCAGCAGCAGCAACCACGAAGGGACGAGCGTCACAACTTTGGACTCGAGCAGAGTCCACCAAAGCAGCAGCGGTGGCTGCGTCGCGAACGACGATTGCGACAGCGACGGCGAAGTGAGTCGCATCGATTTTCGCGGAGTCAATTTGCGCAGCAAGAAGAAACGCGAGAATTCCGTGGGTCTTTGCGGCGACGACAATGACTCCTCGAGCCAGTATCAGCACCAACCCGAGAGGCCGATGTCGTGGGAGGGTGAGCTTTCCGATCAGGAGATGTCGTCCAACACCATCACCAATCAAGTACGTAATAATTGCAATCATCGATGGCGGAAAAATCAACGCGCAACTAACTACCAAGTTTATTATTATTAAACGCGCACGATTCGAACGTTTGTTTAGGATCTCGAGGAGACGTCGATGGAGGGTGTGCAAGTCTGCAGCACGAGTCCGGTCATGGTGGATCAAAAGTTTTCGATCAAAACGGAGTCGGATTTTCGCTCGACTTCCGGCATACATCATCAGGCTCAATCGACGACGAGCAATGCGCTAAACGAGACTGTGGTCGGCGTCTCGCACGTTCAGCAGCTGCATCAACCCCACCATCACCATCAGCAACAGCAGCAACATCAACAAGCCCAATCAGTTCCAAAGCAGCAGCAGCAGCATCAACCGGTGCAACAGAGCGCGGATCAAGCGCAGCAAAGCGATTTGCCACTGCTGGTGGGTAAATTGCTCGGAGGCTGCAACAGCTCTACGCCCAGTCACAGCCCCATACTCGTACCGCGTCATCATCTGACCAAGCACAGTCACACGAGATCTCAGGTAAGTAGAGTCGCTCGATTTTGTCTCCTTCGAGCCTCATCGGACACCTTCGATGTGTAACTTTTCATGACCCGCACAGGTTCCTTCTCCCGACTCGGCCATCCACTCGGCCTACAGCGTCTTCAGCTCGCCGACTCAGTCGCCGCACGCGGCTCGTCACTCGGCCCTCGGCTCGGCCTCGCCCGTCCCCGGGGCCGGCGGTGGCGGCTGCGGCGGCGGTGGCTCCTCCTCGCTCTCTCTGTCGCGGCACAGCTTCAACAATTCCTCCTCGTCGCTGTCGCTCTCCCTGTCGCACTCGCTCTCGCGCAACAACAGCGACGCCTCGAGCAGCTGCTACAGCTACGGCAGCCTGAGTCCGCCGACGCACTCGCCGATTCAGCAGCGGCACGCCATGCACCAGCAGAACGCGGCGGCCGCGCTCCAGCAGCACCTGCAGAATCAGGCCGCGACGCAGCACGCCTACGGCTCGGCCGCGGCTGCCGCTTTGGCCGCTCAGGGCCTCGACGCTGCCTCGGCTGCGGCAGCGGCGGCGGCTTCGGGGGCCGACGTGCATCTCGACGATCAAGACGACGGCAGATTGCCTTCGGCTCCGTCCGGTATCTCGACCAGGCAGCAGCTCATCAACAGTCCTTGTCCTATATGCGGCGACAAAATAAGTGGCTTCCATTACGGAATCTTCTCGTGCGAGTCTTGTAAAGTAAGCCGATCGACTATCATAGCATTTCGATCCAAGTATAAAGGTTGTAAATTGTCTCTTTGTTTTGCCGTCAGGGTTTCTTCAAAAGGACCGTACAAAATCGGAAAAACTACGTCTGTCTACGCGGTGCTGGTTGCCCCGTAACCGTGGCTACGCGCAAAAAGTGTCCGGCTTGTAGATTCGACAAGTGCCTCAACATGGGCATGAAACTCGAGGCCATTAGAGAGGACCGAACGCGAGGCGGACGAAGTACGTATCAGTGTACTTACACGTTGCCAGCGAGTCTCATGGGCAACGCCTCTGCCTCGTCCGCCGGTGTCCTGGCTCAAGGTGCCTTGATCAATGAAAAAATGGGCCTCGCTAGTCCAAGCAGTCCCGCCTCCTCCTCCGATCATCATTCGAGCAAGCATCATTCGCACAACCTCGTACCTGCGCTGCTTCAAGAAATCATGGACGTCGAGCATCTGTGGCATTATAATGACAACGATCGAATGAGCGGCAGTCAAAGCATGGCCTCTCTTAGTCTCTCACAGGTATGCCTCTTGTCCTCCCTCGCTCTGACATTATCTTCGTAAAAGATACATTCATTAAACAATTTTCAGTCTCTGACGAGTACGAGCTTGAATGTCACAAACAGCAGTATTGATATGCATGACTCATTTTCGTCAAACGGCTCAACCTCGACTATAATGGGAGGAACAAACGGCAATCGTCTAGACTCAACTTCCTTGCCGTCAACGCGAGAACCGCGCCAATCTTCCAACTCTAATGGAAACTCTTCTCATCAGCCAGATTTTCTTTCGAATCTCTGCAATATAGCCGATCATCGCTTATATAAAATAGTCAAGTGGTGCAAAAGTTTGCCACTGTTCAAACATATTTCTATTGACGATCAAATATGCCTTCTGATCAATTCTTGGTGCGAACTCTTGCTTTTTTCATGTTGCTTTAGGAGTATGAGTACTCCTGGTGAAATTAGAGTGTCTCTAGGAAAAAGTATCACATTAGAACAAGCTAAACAGCTTGGTTTAGCGACGTGCATTGAACGTATGCTTGCTTTCACCAATAATCTGAGACGATTAAGGGTTGACCAGTACGAATACGTTGGAATGAAGGTAAAAAACCACAAACACACACAACGTTATCTCATTATGAAGAGTTTCAAAGTGTTATAAAAATAACTAATTTTTGCAGGTGATAGTGCTTTTAACTTCGGATACGAATGAATTGAAGGAACCTGAAAAAGTGCGTGACTCGCAAGAAAAAGCTCTCCAAGCTTTACAAAAATATACTAATGCAAAGTACCCAGAGATGCCAGCTAAATTTGGCGAGCTGTTACTACGTATTCCCGATTTGCAACGAACTTGTCAAGTGGGTAAAGAACTACTCAGTGCTAAGAGGGCAGAAGGAGAAGGCTGTTCTTTCAATCTTCTTATGGAGCTTTTACGCGGTGATCACTAAATACATTCACAATTTTAGATTATTGAATTGAAAATAATTCATGCTCGTAAGGGTTCTTCGTGGAACTTTTTTTTATTACAGAGCTGCTTGTTATTTTCAAAAGATTGTAAGTCATTAAAGTACTTACAATTTGAAAAAAGGGTACTTCCGAGAATCGCATCGAAAAAGATTTTCCGATTTACCGTGCTTCAAATCGTGTAAATTTTTATATCAATTAATAAAATTAAATGAATATAGCAATAACTTAATGCTATTTTACGTCCAAGCGATTCTTATGTAAACTAATTGAACATACTTTTGAAATTGAATTATTAAATGTAAAGTAATCAGTAAAGAGTTACTGATAAAACTTATTTAGATTACTTACACATTTTAAAAAAGTATTAAATAATTTCAAATTGCAATTATTAATCTACTAAATTGAAGTTTTACTGTTGCTACAATAAATCGACTTTCGATAAATTTATCTTTGTAAAAATCTTATTTTTCTTTTGGTTCTACAGAAAAATATAGATTTCATATGATGGTATATGCTTAAGTAATACACTGAGAAAAAAAATTCATTGATTCAATGAAACATTTAATTGAATACAATCTATGAAATAATTCATTCATCCAACAAAATATTTAATTGTTTTCATGAAGCTTTGGTAAAAACAATTAAATATTTTGTTGGATGAAATAAAAAAAGATTATTTCAATGAAATTATTTCATAGATTGTATTCAATTAAACGTTTCATTGAATCAATGAATTTTTTTTCTCAGTGTACTATATAAATAACCAAGGTCAAATCACATCAAATACTTGGCCTTGAGGTACAAATTTTTTGAATGTAAAGGCCCCAAGTACTTGATGTGAATTTCATGTTTTTAAAGTCATATTAATATACTAAAAGATTAATTCTACTTCTCCGAGATTCAGTTATCTTTACTTTTTCAAAATGTGAAACTGTGTACATAAAAAAATAATACAGCAAAACGATTTACTGCAAATTGGAAAAATGTGATTGAAGAATCGTGATGACATCGCAATAGCGTTAGTTTAGGTGAGGGGACTGATTTTGATAGGAAACTTTTTATAAATGTAAAATAAAGAACAAAAAAATCTTGAAGTACATTTAAAATAAAATTCGATTAACTAGTAAACATAAATGCAATTTATAAATATATTTAGGAAAAGGTAAATCTATATAATAAATTAATGTATTATTATTAAAATATTTTTTATTTACGCCTTACAGAGATCTTTCGCTGTCTCAAGCAAGACGCGTTGAAAGTAAAAACGAGACTGAAATTTACTTTGCTTTTAATCGTGTTAAAATTATATTTTTGTGCATTTATATTTCGATTGATGTTATCATATTTTCATGGTTGAAATGTTATTTTTACAAAGTGATATGCATAAAACGTGCGGACACCATATATCTTTTATTATAAATAATAATCAGCTTATATTATTCTTAAAACCTATTTAATTATAAATTACATAGAAGTGTATTTTTGTACCCTTTGAGTAAAATGTAATTATCTCGTAGAAGTTGAGTCGTCATAAAAAAAGTGTCAATTAAAATACATGATGATCCATTGTGTAAAAAATATATTGTATTTGCCGAGCTTAAGGGCACGCCGTGTTAATAACTCTAATTTTATTATCAGTATTTTATTTGTTTACAGTTTGAATTTAAATTGAAAAAGATAATTTTTTGAATTTTTAATAAAAAATTGTACTTAAAAATATTAGCGAATGTGTCCTACATTACGAAGAAAACTTAGTGCTCTTAGTCCATAAAAAGTTTAATTGCAATTCATAAATACAATGTTATGACTAACATTTTTCCATTTATTAAATTTTGTAATTTTTAGTATTCATTCGATGAATTTTCAAAAATTCAGCAATAAAATTTTTTTGAAAAAATAATGAGGAGAAGATTGCCCACATAAAGTTATCATTAAAATTTAGTGTATTCATTAAGCACTGATACATTTTGCAATATTTCGAAAAACTGGCTGTCATTTTCTTATGATCTTTGCGTTTAGATGTATGTAAAAGTATAAAAATTTTTATTAAATTCTAAAATTGGGTTCTATAAAGCTTTATAAATTATGAGAAAATAAATGTTATATTTATATACATATTCATATACATATTTATATACCTATATATATATTTTTTGCCATATAAAAAATTTGCATTTATAATAATACAAGATTTAAAAAAATATTTCTAACTGTAGTATTAATTTAAATCAGAAATAATAAAAAACTTGTTTTCCTAAAATAATTTATTCAGCTTGCAATCAAATTATTGAAATAACGATTAAATAAAAGAACTTCATTCTTCAAAGATTTGTTTATTTTATGAACTTTGTAAAAAAATGTTCACATGAAAACAAGCTAACCAGATGCAGTATTCATTGTGGTAAGCAATTAATTTAGTTTTAACAATAATTTAAATCACCTTGGTAAATGAAATGAACTAAATGAACTAAAATGTAAAATGCAAAACAGTAAACCACTTTGAGTGCCTAGAACCCTATCATTAATAATTTTAAGATAATTGTGATTGAAAAAATGTTGATAAGAGTAAAGGAGTCTATAAGCCTGTTGAAAAGCGACTGTTCTGTGTTTATATTTTTATAATAATTATGTAATATGATCTTTAGTAAATACATTTTTCTTGCTATTTCCGCACTTTTAAATTTATTTTAATAAATGATTTATAAATTAATGATGGTATTGCATGGAATTTTTGTTCAAGTAAGCATGTGACAATTATCATGTGTAACAATACTATGTAAAATTGTATTATAAATTCAAAAACATCAAAAATAGATTGTTGGAAAGTATATTAAGTTCTATTAATGTTGGAAATACTTTAAAACTTTTGAAAATTAGTTTGGATCAGAATATTTTACACAAGTCAAATTGGTTGCAAACCAAGATGAACTATTTTAAATGAAATTAACTGCGATGTAATTTAAAATGTAAACCAATTTATTTAGTGGGTCAACACTCGCAACTATGTTTCTTATTGTTGCTGGTGAAATAATATTGATAGCATTTGTACACACAAAATAATACAGAAGGCAATTATGCTTGTAATTCAGTTTGTTTTTGTAATAAAAATTAATATTTTAAGAAGTGACATAATTTAAGTTACACATGCAAAACGCAGTAAAAATGTACTTTTATACATACACTACTAGCTTTTATTGGAAAATAAAATAATTTTTATTAAATATTATTTATTTCTTTATGATAATTTCTTTTACCATTTCATTTCAGTTTTTTTCATCAGTAGATGGAATTACATTTTAGACACTGAGCAAATATGAGAATTATTATTGAAAAAAGAATTTCATTTTCTTCCAAAATGTATGTTTCTAAAAAATAATAAAAACATTAAAGTGCCAAAAATTTTCATCATTTTTATTGATTTATTTTTATTTTTATAATAAGTACCGAAAAAGCGTTTTTGTGCACGTAGTGTGTGCAAAAAAGACACGAATGCAATAGGAAAAAGCATGACACCGGCAGCTGACTGCCAATTCGTCGCGCAATTATTGTCAAAACGGCTTGCAACAGAGATAGCGAGAGTCGTTTGACAAAGTTTAATGCATCTCGAACAGACAATGAATACAGGAAAAAGGATTCGCAGCGAAGAATCGTTTGCATTTGGTGTCGTGACAAAATGCTGTGACAATTTTAATATTGGGAAAAGGAAAAGGAATTTGATTTCTTTTCGAGAAAATTCATGATAGCTCTGTTATATGAAAATGAATAACGGCGCAATAGAAGTGATTAAATTACCTTAAAAAGTTGAGTATCGGTGACTGGAATTGGTCAAATAAGGTCGATCCCCTCGCAAGAATAATTTTAAAAATAATTTACCATGCAGTTCAATGTGAAAAAAAACCGAATTCACAATAGAAGCGTAGCAACTTTTTACTTACTGTTAATATTATCGATCATAATATGAAATCGATACAACATAGAAACGCGGAATTGAGCCACAGTGCATTGTATCCATATACTTTTCATCGACTCTCTTTTCACAAAACATACCACACCTATAAACAGTATCTACCACCTAACCAGTAGCAAAGACACTGCCTGTGCATCGCCGGGCTATTTAACAAGATCGTCGCGCGGAGATGTCAGCACTGTCCGCAACAAAACGGCTCGCCCCGGCCGAAACATTTATATAGTGGCAACGAAAACAGAAATAACATAGGAAAATCGACTTTTTATGCTAGCGATGTGTGGTCTCGATAAACTAAGTGCCATGTATCGTCGTGTGTCGTCAGTTCAGACAGGTCTAGTTGACTAAGTGCAATAATGCCGAGGTGTTTAATGAAGTACGTGAGATCGAGACACGCCGATCGCGACGATGGTAAGTAGAAATGATGGTTAATTTTAATTTTTTTATTGTTTATGATATTAAGATTATAAACAAGTTTTTTCATACGGAATCTATCGCTTGCTCCAAACTTTTCGTCTCGTTTAGTGTGTTAATACAATCATTGTACGATTACTTGCTAAAGTGTCATATTTCCGTTCGTTACAAATACAAATCATAATACGAAAACGCGACCATTTGATGCCGAATGTAATTTCAATATATTGATGAACTATTTTTTGCCTGCAGAGCGGAAGCATAAACTAACGTGGAGTACAACTTACAGTAGAAAAACTGATTCCAAAGGAGCTGATCCGTTTATGAAGAATGGAAAATTTGATTTTGACAGTGTATCCACTGAAGTATCTTTTGTAACTGGTTTTCATTTGCAAGAAAAATACAGCTCATTTGAACATGTTCCTGCTGATACAAGAAAGTCCACAGAAAACAGTACTATTGTTCATTTGTCAGTCGCTCAGTTGAGTAGAACAGAAATGGCGACAGCATTAGGCCTTCAATCTTCTCAAGTTGTCGAAATTGAAGTGGCTACTGCAGATAACAAAAAGCAAAAGCCCATTGAAATTGTCTTACAGGAGCAAGTGATACAGGAGAAAGTGACATTTTATAACCAAATGCAAAAATCAGAAATAGCAATATGTAAACAAATGCAAAGTAAAGAAACTTTGCAGTGCAATCAGAAACCAGAAGCGAATATTACTGAATTTGAGTCTAAAGAAAATGAAAGCCCTAATAACTTAATTGTCAATAAAGGAGAATCTCCAACCAGTCAAAGGATGTCCAATAGAAGAAGTAAATCATTACACTTTTGTCGATACTGTCATAAATCCTTTGATCGACCATGGGTATTGAAAGGTCACTTGAGACTTCACACTGGTGAAAGACCATTCAGATGTCCTTTTTGTAACAAGTCCTTTGCGGATAGGTAATAAAAATTTTGAATAATTCTTTTGCGTGTAATTGAAAATTTAAAAATTTTCGTTTAGATCCAACTTACGAGCTCATCAAAGAACAAGGAATCATCACGAGTGGCAGTGGAGATGCGAGCTGTGCTTCAAGGCGTTTTCGCAACGTCGATATCTAGATCGGCATTGTCCCGAAGCTTGTCGCAAATATAGATTATCTCAAAGAAAAGAATAGAATTACTTTATTATTGAAAATATCTAATGCAAAGCCAAAGATATTAGAATCATGTGTTAATTCAGAGTTTTATCATGTTTAAATTATAAATTGTGTATATTATATTATTATTGAAAAAATTCAGAATTTTATTGAAATTGAAAAGGTTAACAGGTTACCTAGAGGCTTAATTCTGTATGTTTGATTCAATGAGACATGTTGTTGGACATCTATTATATACTTCCAAAAAATGAATTGTTAAAAAATTTGGTATCAAATTGGAATTTGATTTAATTGATATGAAAAAAAAATTGCATTATCGTCCTTATTTTAAATCAACTGTTGAGCTTAATTGTACTTAAGCATATGATTTTTTAATGATACATTGAAATGTATTAATATTTTTATTATACTATTATCTAATTTGGAGTGTTATTATTGCTTCGATATGGTTGTGAGAATTGATTTTCGTTGATTTCTATCGAGCTTTCATTGACGATTTTTCTTCGATCCCCATATCAATAAAAATTGTTTTTAATTAAGGTCATGGCACCGTTGAGAGTACAAATTTTAGCAAAATTTTACAATAAAAACAATTACACTCCAATGAATGTTTGTTGCATTCAATTCTTTCTTCCTCTTTCGCAATTACTGACTGATTCAAGCTCCGAGTCGTGCTCGCTGCGTGGCTCAGCCGCGCTTCTTTATAAGCACGGATCGTTTCTTATAACGACGATAGCCAAACGTCGCGACGTTGTCATTACGAATCAAGTTTTTTTGCTTATTCGATTCTTCGACACGCGTTCGTTATCGGAAAATCGTCGAAATCAATCGTCGCGGTGAATTGGTATTTTTTGCGAAAAAATTAATCTCAGCAAGGAAAGAACAAACTGCATGGATACGATTATTTAGAGTCCATCTATGGTTTCGCGCTTTCAAAGTTTAACAACAATCGTAGCATACCATGTGGAAACTATGTCGAGTTCGCGCGAGGTGATAACACGTAAAATTCGATTCAATATCGTTATGACGAACAGGCCGATATAGGTATATCGCATGTGTACACACAGGATCACGGCTTAGCTGGCCTCTAGCCGTGTGTGTCGAGCTGTTTAGCCGTACACATAATAGCTCGAAAAGATCATATACACTCTTGAGTCGAGTCTCTTGGCCCAGCCATACTCGTTAATAAGCGCGCACAAAGTTCAGTCGAGTTTGGAGCATTCGAAAATTCGATACGCGTGAAATAGGCAGTGGCTTCGCAGCATCCGATCGCGTCGTAGCGCCTTCGATAATTACATTTTTCTCGCGCTCTCGAAATCCATAATATACACATTCGTTCGCGGCTGGAACTCGAACGAATCCGAATAACGCGAGAGAATTAGGATACGATAATTTATCGGTTTGCCGCGGCGGAATCTTGCAAATTAGTATCCAATACAGTGCTAAAGAAGCGGCCGCAGGGGAAACCGGTCTTGAAAAAAGTCTCAGCTGTTGTTTCGCACGCAGGTAATCTCTATGTGGACTCTATTTTGTATCATAAATATAGAGAGTAAAAATGTGCGCGCTCGTGTGTGCGATTGCGAATCGTTTGTTAAACTTGAACGGAGCTGTGCTACACGTACGATCACATATAGCTCCGAGTACTCTCACTCGTAGCGGGATGTTGTCGTACGTACATACAAGCGAGTCCATTAACCCGATACATATGCAACGAGTATATTATTTAAATGTGGCCGGAGTGTGTGTGTGTGTGAGCCCCGGGGTCCCATCAGCATCATCATCATCATCATCATCATCATCGACGACGTCGTCGACGGCACGATGGTCTCTCGTGGAGAATTAGTCGTTCTCTCTCGTTCGTATCGTACGCAGCGCAAAAGTAGCAGTGCATGCCTGTATATATGCGACCGGCCGGAAACTCAATAGTGCGCGCACTTGTACTCGTGTGTGTGTGTCTCATCGAGAGAAAGAGAGATACGAGTGTCTCTCGGCTAATATAATATATACTTACACTTGTACACTACTACTACTACTACTCGACGGTCAAATTTAATCTCTCGATGAAGCTTTCGTCGTCTTCGTCGCACCTTGTGTCGTATACCGCGTCGATGTGAACGTGTGCCGCGCGTCACGACTAGTATAGTGTCCGTCGTGTCTAGCTTGTGCCGCGCTTAGTCGTTTTTTTGTTCGACTTTTTTTTGCGTGTACGTCTGCGTGCGACAACAACAACGACGACGATGTTAACTAACGAGCCGTCCAAGTTGAAGAATCACTTTTAATGCGCTGTCGTATTTTTTTTTGTTCTGCCGAAGACCGAAGATCAGCAGCGAGAGAAGATCGCGATCCCACTTGTCGATTTACATGACGAAAGATAATACACTCGCAGAAGGATGGAGAGGCTGCGCAGCTCGTCCTTTTCGCTGCTCGTTCTCGTAGTGGGCCTCGTCGTCGTCGTCAGCTGCGATTCCGCTGCAGCAGCCGCGGTCGAAGGTAAGCCGATCGTGAAATAATTATTACGCGCGATTCATTACTTTCGCTTTCGTTCGTTGATCGTACCGATCAAAGTCGGAGCTACCACCCGTGTTACTATTGTCATCTTTATCTGTGCAGTTTTCTATAGCGAGACAAAAAAAAATAAACAAACAAAAGTTAAAATTGAGATCGGATATTGGATGAGAACGAGCGAAATGCACTCGTATGTACTTCGGTTCGAAGTTTTCAGCTCCGGTGTGTCTCAGTCGTTTATTTTCATCTGGCCATTAACATTCCCTATTGAAGATCGTTCGAGCTGTGTTGCTGTATATAAATCACATTAATAGCAATGTAATAGCTACCGCGCAATCATCCGTAATAAGCCTCGCTCGGCGGTGCAGCAGCAGCATCGCTCGAGCATCGCACCGACTATTGCCTGCTGTACTCGTATATCATCGATAGCGCACAAACGTCTGTGTAACGAAAAAAAAGAAAGAAAAGAAAAGGTAAACAAATGTGCGCATGTCACTTGGAAGTCAAAGTATACCGTAATTTTGTTGGTGATTTTGTCGTATCGAATTGGGCGGCGACAATTCCGAGGAGCACCTCCGTTTCGAGAAGAAGCTGGAGGTATTTTGCCTATTTTTTTCTCTTTACATCGCACGCGCCGAACGATAAAGCTTTACAGTCTCCTCCAGAAAAAAGCTCGATGACGATATCGGGCCTCGATTTGACCAAAACGCTCGATTAATCAAGAGGCCAAGTCGGACCGATGCATATAGTTGAAAAATTACGATTCGCGAGCAGTGTACACTACCCGGCGAATAAGTAACGCGCGTCCCGATCCGTCTTAATGGTTTATTGCGTCGTTCAAATCCACCGACGTGTGCGCGTCTCGTTGTCATTTAAATTGAATTATTCGATATAGCAAATAAATACTATAATAAGTTTAATCGTTATCACGAGCGCATCCGTCGTTCATCGATCGAGCTCTCTCTTGGCAATCGCAAAAAATTGTGTCCACACCCGCGCAATCGTCGAATATATCGTGTTCCAGAGAGCAACAACTGCACGCTACCGGCTTACTTTCTCTGCGCCAACGGCAGATGCATCTCTCACTCGTTCAAGTGCGACAGCGAGGACGACTGCGGCGACAATTCGGACGAGCGCGACTGCGGAAAGCCATTACCGGTACGTATCGTTGCTAGCCAACAAAAAAAAAATAGTCCGTAAACAATAAATTTTGCGCACACGCACAGATCTTTGCCGACGCCTGCAAAGAGAACGAGTTCCAGTGCGCCGATCGCTTCCACTGCATACCCAAAGACAATTACTGCGATAACAAGAAAGACTGCTTGGACGGCAGCGACGAGGTCGAAAACTGCCGCGCGAACGTAAGTCGATCTATTGTACGAGCCCTGGCACCTCGTTGATACAATTACGAATTTGGCGCAGAAAACATGCAAAGCCCCGTACGATCACGAGTGCAAGGACGTGGCGGGCCACTGCATAATGAAGGAGTGGCTGTGCGACGGCCTGAACGACTGCGCCGACGCCTCGGACGAGGAGAACTGCGACGGCTACGGGGCACCGATCACGGCGGCCTCGTGCACGAGCTCGGCCCAGCGACACCTGTGCAGCAACGGGCGCTGCATCAACCTCGAGCTCGTCTGCAACGGCCAGGACGACTGCGGCGACGGCAGCGACGAGCATCGCGACAACTGCGCCAAGGCCCGGCTCGAGTGCGCCAAGATGCAGCCCCCCTGCCAGTTCAATTGCTCGGCCACGCCGCAGGGCGTCGCGAGGTGCGTCTGCCCGAGCGGCTTCAAGCCCATCGCGGCGACGGGTAAATGTCAGGGTGAGTGAAAATCGAATGAGATCGGTATGTGCGCGAACCGATTTTTGCGATCGCGGCGAACGAAGAAGAAGACGACGACGACGACGACGACAGCGAAGGGAGGAATAACAACGAGCGTCGCGCGAAAGATATCGCTGCTGCTGCAGCTCGAGTCGGAGTTTGGCCAACGAATAGCGCAGTTGCACTCGCGGCTCTTGATAAGAATGACGCTGTTTCTTTCGTCGCTGCTACTGCTGCTGCTGCTGTTGCTTATGCTGCTGCGGTCGGCCGATACTTGACTCGCGAGCTAATACATCTCTTTCTTTCTCTCTCTCTGCGCGCACACATATAGAGTGATACTTTTCTCTCTCGAGTCTCGAGTCAGTGCGCGCACCCTCGGAAGTGCTACACAAAAGACAATCGGCTCGGGGCCGCTTTATACATTATACGATATAAATCATTAGTTGTGTAATACGCAGCCAGCCGGACTATGGCCCGCGAAATCTACGCGCTCGTTTTGTTGTTCCACTGCCTGCTGTGGTGGTCGTCGTCGTCGTCGTCTTTGTTGCTGCCGCTACGACGAGGAGGAGTCGTTGGTGGCGTAGAGGCTGCCGACTCCTCTTCCTCCTCCTCCTCCTCGTCCGAGCTCGTTCGGCCCGATCAAGGTACGTCGATATTTTTTTCATAATTTTTCTCCTTTGCTTTTCCATGCGTTACATGCAGATATCAACGAGTGCGAAACTTACGGCGTGTGCGAGCAGATATGTCGCAACGGCAACGGCACGTATCAGTGCGACTGCGAGTACGGCTACGTTCTCCAAGACGATCGCAGGAGCTGCAAGGCCGAGTGTAAATATCATCGTCGTCGTCGTACATCGACGCAGAAATTTTCCGTGTCTCGAGCTTATATAAAAAATCAACTTGCACAGGGCATTTATATATTATTATATTCGTCGAAAATATGAGACTACTGCGTCGCGCGCGCGTCGTACGTACAACAATCATTATCACTCTGGCGCGGATAATATTTTCCCAATATATACATAACGCAGCATAAGACCCCGCAACGTGAATTTAAGCGCATTTATCTTTCTGCCAATGTTCCATCTGCCCCGGTACAGCATATACATGATGTTTATGTAAAAGCACGCGCCGCTCGATGCACAGCAAATGCACAATTATCTCTATCGCGTCCGTATATATATACCATGCATAGCATATACAACGTAAGTAATTCGTATATTTGTTTCGCGTGGTCTCTCTGCAGTCTGCGAGCTGCTTCAAAGTCTATTCGCGTAGCGCATGACCGAATTTATCGCGATACCGCATGTAGGATAATCAATCGATGCCGTTGAGGGGGAGAATCGGCTACTAATTGCTAGGATAAAAATGCCGAGCAAATTCTCACATGCGTGTGTGTGTGTGTGTTGTATTATGTACGATAGCCGGCGAAGCGCTGATGATTTTCGCCTCGAAGACGTCGATAAGGGGCTACTATCTCGAGTCCAAGGTGTACTTTCAAATAGCCAACAATCTGCAGCACGTGGTGGGGGTTTCGCTGGACTCGAACTACGTCTACTGGTCGGACATACAGCTCGGGGACGAGGCCATCTTTCGCAGCCTCGAGGACGGCACGAAGCGCGAGGTGATCGTCACGGCGGGCCTCGGCTGCCCGGAGGACATCGCCGTCGACTGGGTCACCGGCAACATCTACTTCACCGACAGCATGTACAAGCACATCGGGGTCTGCAGCAAGGGCGGCGCCTTCTGCACGGTCATCGTCAAGGAGAACACGGAGAAGCCGCGCGGCATCGCTCTGCTGCCCTCCGAGGGGTAATTAATCAATTATGATCTCGAATAGGAGCTGGGATAATATTAAGAAATTCGTCCATGTATAATAGCAAAGTGTTCTGGAGCGACTGGGGCGAGAAGCCGCACATATCGCTGGCCTACATGGACGGGAGCAATCGCACGGCCTTCATAAGCGACAAGATCGGCTGGCCCAACGGCCTCACCATCGACTATCCGAACAAGCGGCTCTACTGGGTCGACGCCAAGCTCAAAGTCATCGAGTCCATACAGCTGGACGGCAAAGACCGCAGGGTAATTGCGAATTACAAAGTCCGACTGTACTTTGACTAATTTATTAATCGCATGAATATGTGTAAAGACGGTACTGCACGACGTGGCCAAGCATCCGTACTCGATCGCCATCTTCGAGAACCGACTGTACTGGAGCGACTGGAACACCAACAGCATCCACTCGTGCGACAAGTTCAGCGGCAAGGACTACAAGACCCTGTTCCAGAAGAACGAGACGGTCTACGGCATCCACATCTACCACTCGACCTTGAAAGTCAAGGTAATTACATTGTATAAAAATTAAACGACTGCATTTGCAATGAGCCTCGATCGATGGGATTTTAGTACGCGAATCCGTGCGTGACCAAGCCGTGCGCTCAGCTGTGCCTGCTGTCGGCCAACAAGAGCTTCTCGTGCGCCTGCACCCTCGACAAGGAGCTCAACGAGGATCGCCGAACTTGCAGAGGTAACGTAGCTGTATAACGACATACGCACTTTGTTGAGCCAAACAGAGAGAACGAGAAATGACGTCTGTGTTTGTCTTTTGCATACGCATTGCAATATCTTATCCGGCGCAACAACGCACAACAACACCAGACTCGGTTAAGCGGAAACACATTGCGATCGCGGCCGGCAACACAATCATGGACTATTATCACGAGCTGCTCGGGAGGCCGAGAATGAGCTCCAGCATCACGTCGGATCATATCACCGCGCTGACCTACGACTCGCTCGCTGGTAAACTATACTTATATATATATATATATGTAGAAAAATTCGTAAACAAATCTCGATGTATCGTAATTAACGTAAAAGATACGATAATCGCCGCCGACGAGATGAGCTACAAGTCGATCTTTCGCTTCAATCCGCGCACCGGCCTCGTCAATCACATAATACCGATCGTCAACGAGGTCGTGGAGAGCATCGGCTTCGATCACCTCGGCAACAATCTCTACAAGAGCAACACCGTCCACAAGAAGGTCGAGGTCTACAGCCTGACGACCGGCGAGAAGACCGAGTTCTCCTACACGGAGAATCCGTACGCGCTGCTGCTGATCCCGGAGGAGGGCACGATGTTCGTCGTGTTCCGGGCCAGCGACGAGTTCCACATCGATCGGCTGCAGATGAACGGCCTGGGCTCGCGCACCCACGTGGTCGAGAGCGGCTTGTACGGGCCGACCGTCGCGCTGGCCTACGACGCGGACTCGAGGCGACTCTACTGGGCCGACGAGGGCACCGGTCGCATCGAGAGCTGCGACCTGCAGGGCCAGCAGAGGCTGCTGTTTCGCACGGGCCTCCAGGCGCCCGTCTCGCTGGCCGTCCTCGACGCCGAGATATTCTGGACGTCGCACAGATCGAGTCGGCTCAACTGGGCCGACAAGAGGCACATCGTCTCGGGCAGCAAGGGCCTCAATTTGCGTGAGTTGAAATGATTTTCCGTCGCGTTCGACTCGAGTTTATTCGATCGTTTGTTCTCGCAGAGGTGCCGCACACCCATCCGCTGCTGCTGCAGACGATCGACGGCCCGCGTACCGGAGTCGAGCATCCGTGTCGCGTCAACAACGGCGACTGCACGCACATCTGCCTCGTCACCAACGCCACCAAACACGTAACACATCTCCTCGGACTTGCTTCTCGTTCGTTTTAGTTATATATTTATGATATATTTCATTATGCAGATCTGCGCCTGTCCAAGCGGCTACCTCATCAATACCGATCTAAAGTCTTGCCGACTGAAGGCGAGCTGCGGCGACGACGAGATCAGGTGCTCGGCCAGCGACAAGTGCATCAAGAAGAGCCTCGGCTGCGACGGCAAGAACGACTGCCCGGACGGCGAGGACGAGCGGGACTGCAAGATCGCCGCCACGACCGCTTCGTCCAGCCCTAATTGTCGAGTCAGCGAGGATCAGTTCGCTTGCTCGGACGGCAGCAGATGCCTCGACCTGGCCCAGCGATGCAACGGCTACTTCGACTGTCCGGACCACTCGGACGAGCAGAGCTGCCCCAGCAGCAGCAGCGGCAGCAACTGCACCAGCGACGAGTTTCGCTGCAGAAACGGCCATTGGTGCGTCCCCAAAGCTTCGCTGTGCAACGGCGAGAACGACTGCGACGACTTCTCGGACGAGGAGAACTGCCACGCGGATCACGCCTGCAAGGAGCACTTCTTTCGCTGCCGCAACGGCCTCTGCATACCCAAGAACTGGGAGTGCGACGGCCAGGTCGACTGCTCGGACGGCTCGGACGAGTACGCCTCGTGCAAGCCCAGCGAGTGCGCCGCGAGCATGTTCAGCTGCCGCAACGGGCGCTGCATCGATCTGCTGCTGCGCTGCAACGGCGTCGACGACTGCGACGACAACTCGGACGAGCTCGACTGCCCGAATCAGGACAGGTACGACGCTCTGATCTGCGGCTCGGGCGAGTACAGGTGTCGCAACAGCTCGCTCTGCGTCGGCGAGCGCCTGAAGTGCGACGGCCAGTCGGACTGCCCCGCGGGCGACGACGAGGAGGACTGCGGCAGGTGCCTCGCCGCCAGCCAGTTCAGCTGCGCCAACGGCAAGTGCGTGCCCCTCGACTGGCTCTGCGACAAGAGCGACGACTGCGGCGACAACTCGGACGAGGAGCACTGCGCCGAGCGCTCCAAGGGCTTCTCCTGGCTCACGCCGGTCGCCGGAGTAACTGCGACCTCATCGTCCAGTCGGGGCAACTGCTCCGAGGGCGAGTACGCCTGCCGGACGACGGGCCACTGCCTGGCCCTGTTCAAGCTGTGCGACGGCGAGCGCCACTGCCTCGACGGCAGCGACGAGGGCGGCCAGTGCGCCACCGCCTGCCAGGACAGGTCGAGCTGCGAGAACGTCTGCCACAAGACGCCCCTGGGCCCGGTCTGCTCGTGCCGCGAGGGCTACAGCCTCGGGCCCGACGGCCACAGCTGCCACGACGTGGACGAGTGCGCCCAGGGCGTCTGTCCGCAGTTGTGCCAGAACAGGCCCGGCTCGTACGCCTGCTCCTGCTTCGAGGGCTACGCCCTGAGGCTCAATCGGGTCTCGTGCAAGGCCACGGGGCCGCCCGTCAAGATGATCACCGCGACCAAGGACGACATCAGGCTCATGTCCCTGGCCTCGCAGCACCAGTCCCTCACGATCCTCCATCACGAGCCGGGCGTCGAGATATCCGGCCTGGACTGGAACGCGCGCGACAACAGCCTCTACTGGAGCAACGAGCTGGCCGGCATGATCAACAAGATGAGCGTCGACACGAAGAAGCGCAGCACCGCCCTGAGCCAGGTGGGCCGGCCTCAGGTGTTGGCGGTCGACTGGATCACCGACAACGTCTACTACTTCGACAACGGCCAGAGGCCGGCGATCAAGGCCTGCAGCGTCGAGGAGGACAAGTGCGCCCGCATCGCCGCGATCGAGGCCGCCAACAACAAGGTGACGGCCCTCGCGGTCGAGCCGCTCAAGGAGTACCTGTTCTGGGCCCAGGTCTCCTGGAAGATCTACGAGACGCCCAGTGGCCAGATCAGGCGGAGCGACCTGGCGGGCGGCAACGAGCTGGTCCTCGTGCACGACAACGTCGCGGTGGTCAGCGGCCTCGCCCTCGACCATCATCGCTCGATCCTCTACTGGGCCGACAACTCGCAGACCAACATCGACTCGGTCAAGCTGGACGGCAGCGACAGGCGAGTCGTGCTGCCGGCCCTCCTCATCAAGCCCATCGGCCTGCAGCTGTTCGAGGACGCCCTCTACTGGAAGGGCGAGTCCACGCCGACCCTGAGGAAGCGCGAGCTCTACGGCGACAAGAGCTACAGCGTCATCTCCGTGGGGGGCAACAACATCAACGGCCTCTTCGTGATCGCGCAGATCTCGCGCCAGCCGAGCGGCGAGAACAGGTGTCGGCATCGGGGCTGCCAGCATCTGTGCGTGCACCGCGACCGGGAGGCCCTCTGCCTCTGCTCCGACGGCCGACCGGCCGAGCTCGACAACGCCACGGGATGCGCCGTGGAGGTCCCGTCGTCGTCCACTGGCAATAACGACGACGAGTCTATCGTGCACCAGCTGCCCCGTAGCCGAGCGCGCGATCGCCAGAGCGAGATCGAGGCCGCCCAGGAGCAGCCCATTCTGAGCCACCACGTTCCGAGCAAGAGTAACGACAACGACAACAGGAGCATCGCCACTTACGCCGGCCTCGGCGTCACCTTCGTCGCCTTCCTCGTGCTCGGGGCCCTTTTCTTCTATCTCAGGAAGCAGAAGCCCGGATTCTTCAAGGGCCGAGATCTCAGGTATAAAATATACTAGCGAGCGATCTTTGACAGTTCTTATTCGTCCTTTACTAATTGTCTTTTTTTCTTTTCTCCTGCAGCATACGTTTCCAAAATCCTTCCTTCGCTCGCAGAAACAACAACAGCCATCATCATCTGGGCACCAGCGGTTCCTTGCTCGTGCCCGGCGAGCACGAGTACTCCAATCCCATAACGGAGATGACCAATGCAAAGGTACGACGACGAGAAGACTTATGACTTTTTATACACGACTTATCGGTTGCTCTTTCGGTTGAATTTACAGACCAATCAGCAGGCATTGGGCTCGAAAGGTATATTGGAGGTAGCGGGCGAGGCGTCCGATGCGGAAACGGATGAAAACTTTAGCACAAATTACAACTCTCGACTGATTCGTTGATCTGCGCGCCTCGAGCGAAGCGGAAATGATAACATCGATCCTCCCCTTTTGTGTGTGATGGTGATGTGAAAAAATTGTTTTTTTTTTTTTAATTATACCCTGCATCGCATTTTTAAGTAATATATACAATATAACGTATACTCTACGCGCGAAGAAATTTGTTTGTGTCGCGGGCCTGAAAAAAAAATCGACGATGCAGTTTTTATTTTTATTTTTTTTTCAATGTCACGTGTCTCACGAGTTGCCATGTTTTTAAGATACAATTTTAATTGTACCGAACGTTCTTTTTTATTAATGATTGTTTAAGATATTTTATTTTATACGTTTGTAAAACACACTTATTTATGTAACTGTTGTTAGGTTCTTTTATTTAATGTTTTTATTTAAGGCCTATGCATTTTGAATAGCATTTTAAATATGTATACTAAATTTTACTCCATTATTGTAATGAATTTTAATGGGATGCGCGGAGAAGGCATCGAATTACGTTTATTTGCTTTATTACGTAACGAATTGTTGCGAATCGTTATTTTTATGAATAGTGAATTGTCGAAAGAGAAATATTCTTATATAAATGTATATCCTTTTACATTTATTGAATTGAATGTTAAATCTTAGGTGTAAGAAAATCTCCAGTGAAAAGTCGTATCATAATTTTTCGTCATTATAAACGCACAAGTGTTTCTGCGTCAAAGCAATTGTATATTTTTATTTAATAAAATGTTAATTTAATCTTTTGAATAACCTTTTTTAATTTGATTTAGCATTTACTGCCCTTTCCAAATCCGGGCTCAGATTTGAGATCCATAGTTCGAAAGTTATGATCGTTTAAACATAAAAAAACGAAAAAATCTGTGCAAAACATGGAAAATTTATACATTTTTTTATGTTTAAACGAACATAACTTTTGAACTAGTATTGGACCTTAAATCTGAGCCCGAATTTAGAAAAGGCATTAAATTTGACGAGCCATGTTCACATTTCGAATTGATAAAATATTAGGATAAGTGTGTAAAATTCGGAATGTTTGAAAATCGGAATATTGAAAACGGAACATGAAAAATTCGGAAATGTGAACATGGCTGCAAATTTTAAAATTTCACTAGATTTACTCATATAGACAAACGGGTTTATAATAAAAATTTTTATTACGATTAGAAATCTATCAATAAGTTCTTTATTTGTTGAAAAAATGGAGGAAAACTGTACAAGCTTTCAAATATAGGTATTATGAAAGGAATCAGTGAAACGATAAGTAAAAGTAATGTAAGCCTGTGAATAGTATAATACATCTGGTCCAGCTAATTTTATACAATTCTATGCCATAGGTCCATATCTCCAATTGTCCTGAACGGAATATTTTACAATTGCACTTGCGGCAGACACAATAGATTGTGTTAATCTTGGAAGTCTTGATGATTAGGTGCTTAGACGAATTACACATAAAGCATATTAATTTGGTCTCTTCATCCGTTTTGTCGCGTACCATGGGTGGCTTCTTATCGTTCAATGGCCTCGAAGAGTAGGTATAACACTGCCGAATTGTTCTTGCTTCCGCAGGTGGCTTGAAATCGACCCACGATGACGCCTTGTGTGACGTGCTAAACATGCTTCTTTCGATGGAGAGCGATGGGTTTGTCCGATTTGGTATACACTCTTCACGTTTTTTTGCAATTGTCGCAGAGGCATTTGAAAACCTACACTCAATAATCGCCTCACTTTAAACATTTTGGTTACGCTTAAAATTATCCAAAGCGAGAAGTATAACGAACTTGCTTTGATCGTGAATGAGAACTCTTACAAACGTAACTTTTTCCTAATGTAAACTTGATAAACTCAATGTTAGAAGCTGCCAGCGTTATGACTTGTGAAAAGCGCGCCGTAACATAGCCATCGATAGTAGCGTCGACTTTCACGCAGAGACACCGTGTAATTTCTTTATCGACCAACTTGCTGCTGTCAATTTATAACTTATGCGGCAATTCAATTTGATGTCAGGACGTGTAAAAGCATGTTCCTACTCATTTTTTGCTTAGGTTTTGTGCAAAACCAAGTTCCCTGATCAGTAGCGAGATTCTTATCGCGTGACTCGAGGTCAATTACACTGTAACATCATTAAATTACTATCGTATGAATCGAATATTTTTATGCCCTACTGACTGATGATTGTTGTTTGTTTCGATTCATGCATTTATGAAATATTTTAATGAAATGAATTGTTTGATCATTTAAACCCCGTATTAATATAACTTGTAAGGTTAGTTAAATTCAATGTAAATAACAATTATTGAATGTAGTATTTTTGTCAATGTTGACTTCTGTTGTATAAATGTATGTTTTAAATTTTTTAACTGACTGCATAAGTCTAACATAAAGACAAATTCGCCTTTTTTTGAAAATGGTGTAAGTAAAAAAAAAAAATATTTAATTGAATAATAACAATAAAAATTTAACTTTCAAATTCAAATTGACTCGTTAGTCTTCAAGTAAAAACAATAAAATTATCTTTCAAGTGTAATGAAACAATTTCCAGACCGTGAGAGCTGCATAACAATCATTCGTCAAAAATTAAGAGTTGACAAAATGATTCAAATTTGCCGCTCGCATTTACGCGAGCCTGCGAGTTGTAACTTGTATGTACAAGTTAAAACCGTGCACCACTGGCAAGTGCCGCTGCCGCTACTGTCCACGTGCTTACAGTCTTACTGATTATTCCAGTTTTTCATCATATGAGCACGAAAATAACGTTTCAAATTTTGTTTTGCTTTAAAAATTAAATAGATATTTGCAAACATGGACGATAATAATAAAGTAAAATTTTTAATTGTGGATACGAGTGCATTCATTAAAAATGCTCAACTCCAGGTAAACTATACTACATACAAATTCGTTATAATTGTTATGATATCAGTAATAGCTGATCTATAGGTTAAAAATATACCCATGCGCCTGTTATGACAAATAATTATATTCATTATTTTTAATAAATTTTTAGGATATTGGTGAAACAATTATTACGGAACCGAGTGTGATTGATGAAATCAAAAGTAAGAGACAATTGAAGAGATTGGTTGTTCTTCCTTATGATCTAGAAGTTAACGAACCTTTTCCAGAAGATGTACACTTTGGTAATTTTGAATCTATTCTTTTTTAATCTTTTGCAGTAATTTAAGTATTTATTCATATTTTTCTATTTTAAAATTTTCAGTCACTGAATTTTCCAAAAAAACTGGTGACTATGCAAGTTTGTCTGCTACTGACATTAGAGTTATGGCATTGACGTATCGTTATGAGAGAGAACGTGTTGGAGTTGATCATCTCAAAACAGAACCAGAAAGGAAAAAACAAATTATAGACAGTAGCATTCGCAATCATAACAATGCTCCTAAAAATGTAATTCCATCATCAAAAAGTGATTCTGATGATACCAAAACATCAAACAGTGCAATTGAAGAAAATAATGAGTCTCCTGCAAATGCCATAATTGAGTCTTCTGAGAATGGTTCTGAAAACATTGAAGAACCAAATAGTACACTTGAAGAAAAAAATGAGTCTAGTGATGAAACCCCTAAGACAGTAATAAGTGATGATTCTGATTCTAATGAAAGTTCAGGATCAGAATCAGAATATGATGAGGAGGCAAGCGACAGTGAGGACACAGATGACGACAGTGGCTGGATTACTCCATGTAATTGATTAAACTTATTTTAATTTTTATAGTTACTATCACTCTTTTCAGAAAATATATTAACTATAAAATCATTTTTTTTTTTAGCCAACATAAAGGAAGTAACAAAACAAATGAATTGCACAGCTGTCAAAGAGAAAGCTGCTACTGTTGCTTGTTTAACTATGGATTTTGCAATGCAAAATGTTTTAATGCAAATAGGATTGAACGTTGCTTCTTTGGATGGAAAAGTTATCAAGCACATGAGAACGTTTATCATGAGATGTCACGCTTGTTTCAAAACAACACCTAATGTCACAAAAGTTTTCTGTCCTCATTGTGGGAATAAGACCTTGAAAAAAGTAGCTGTTTCAATCGATGATGAAGGCAAACAAAAAATTCACATTAATTTTAGAAAAAAATTGAGTACCAAAGGCAAAAGGGTAAAAATATATTTTCAATGAACATCTCAAAGTTTTAAAAATGTTTGATGGTCAATTAATAATTAATCTAACGTGTTTTCAGTTTTCACTTCCAACAATGCAAGGGGGTAAACATGCATGTAATCCAATTTTATGCGAAGATCAGCCTGTGCCTGATCAAAGGCCTACCAAGCTTGGAAGAAAAATAAACGATCCCTTAAATGAAGATTATATAGCTGGGTACTCACCTTTTGTCCTGCATGATGTAAATTCTAGAGCTGCAATGCTTGGTATCAGAGGGAATACTGGTCTTAAACATTGGCAAAGGAGAAATCCTAACCAGCCTATGAAGAATAGAAAAAAATAGATGAAAAAGAATTATTTTACTTCTTTATCAATATTTGTTAAATCATAGAAATAGTTCATTAGTTATGTAAATACTTATAATAAGTATTTTGGTATAAATAAAATTGTTTTATTTAAAATTTTTGAATCAGTTAATTGGTAAACTCTTTTATTATCATAGTTATAATATTTGTAGATTGCATAACAAAAGATTTTGCTTACACTTAACATGATTAAATAAATAATATTTCCAAGCAGATCATCAAAAAACAAATTTTTCGTATGAATCTATATATAATTAAGATATATGTGCTGGAATGCAATAAAAAATTTTACTCTGTAAATCACTACAGTGTTTTCACATTTCCAATACAAATGATGATCTTAAAAACTAAATTTTTTCCAAGTATGTGACGAATATATTTAATGACTAGATATATCATTAGTAGATCGTTGCAAAAGCTAATACATCTACTCCTTGTAAATTAACATTTAAAAAACAACAATAACGTAGTAGGCAGGTGGTGCTAATGATGATAAGAATTTTTTGTTCACAGTTGTAGACATGCGAGATTTTGAAACTTTCATTAACTCATGAGGCTCCTACAAATCAAAACTATTATTTTTTTCACAGAACAATGTTCAAAAGCATTCATTGTCTAACTTACCAACTAGCAGCTCGACCCATTTCTTCAGGGGGTGAAATTCTTGATATTGCATCGGAAAGTCCAGATGGATCTCCATCATCAAATTTTAATTTCATGCCAACATCTAAAATAAGTGTTTAATTTTAGAGCTAATTTTTTTTTAATCTGTATCGAAAAAATAATACTTACTTGCTGATGGGAATAGCATGGTGTGCTTTAAAAGATCTCCAGATAAATAAGGTACATAGTTATCTTCATCTTCTTCAGCAAGGGGCAAACTAACTGTCATGGCATCTGCATTTATTGATTCAACCATATCCAGCCACTGTTGATTATGAGAGCGAAATTTTTCAACTTTTATTCTCGCTGACCACTCTTTATCACAAAACTAGTAATTCATATAAAAAAACTTGAATGTCACAGAGTTTATGGGAACAAAATTGTATGGAAAGAAATCAATATCTTACTGCAATAACATCTAAGCAAGCATCACATATTTTGCGAATGGCAGAATTTTTATCATGCATGAGATCAATCAAATAACCAGGAGCTTCTGTAAAAAAATAACAATATTTATTCATCGTATTTATTTCAAAAGTTTTTTTTATTTTTTCAATTTTCATACCGTTATTTGTTTTACTTATTAAAAATTCTCGCGTTGAATCATGTTTGGATACTTGATAAAAAACATAAATTATTTGTAATACTATTTCATCATCTTCTTGTTTTGCTGAAAACAAACAAAATATTTCAGTTCATGGTAAATTTGTAATGTCTAAAAAAAAGTAAAAATTGCGAAATTCACCTTTTAATAATTCAATTAAGGAGAGAAGCAGATTTTCTTTACATATTAATTTTGCACAATCTTCGTCAGCTGCTGCAGTACCTATAAATATCACAACTTCTAGTGCCAAATCATCTTCAGCTTGACCAGGAGTAAGATTTTTACGTATCCACGGAATAAGATTACATCTTTCTAAAATTTGTGAATAATCTAAATCGGGCAATGTTAAGTTCCCCATCACACCCATTATTTCTAGAACAAACTCTTCAGAATCTGATTGTGTCAGTGCCATAGCAAAATCTCCAATAAATTCCTTTATTTAAAATATAATTAAGGTATAATAATTACATAATGGGGATGTTATTAAATTCGATGTTTTACCAAAAACTTAATTGAATATTTAAAAACTTTTTTTCTTATTCTAAATTAATATTACTTACAACAAAATTTTCTTTCAAAAAATCGTGTTGAGAAATATTTCTAACAATTTTCATGAGTAAAGAACTTTGAATTCTAAACGATTTTTCTACCAAACCTTGCAATCGATTATTTTGAACCATAATTTCAGCATTTTTACCGTTAATTGCAAGATTTATACATAGTGCTACCAGTTCTGAATGCATTTGATCTTCATCAACTTCCAAAATTAAATCTGTGATCTGAAAATCAATAAATTCAGTTACTTATTTTAAAAGTTTATGTTAGAGCAAAAGTTGATCCTTACAAATGGAACACATTCTGTATGTGTAAACATAGCTTTAACTTTATCATCCATACTGAAATGATATAATATTCCTAGAATAGTAACTCTTTGACTTTCATCTTGTATCAAAAGTTTGATTAATTTAGGTAAAAGACCAATCTTAATCATTTTATTTCTTAGTTTCACATCGAATGACAGATTAAAAATTAGTTTCATAATGCTTGAAATTAAATCAGGATGATTATTTTGAAGGAGTTTTACTAGTTTTTCCACAATATTACCATCAGCCTGTAAATTTGAATTATCAATCAAATTTCATTCATTTTTAATCTAGTTTAATAATTACCATTTCATCAATATTTTCTATGAAAATAGATAGTTTTTTAAGAAAAGTTACAACAAGTATCAAAAGATCAGTATTTGATCTTTCAAAAATTTTCATCAGCATTCCAACTAAATTTTTTTTTCTCATTTTTTTCTCAACTTCTATATCTTCTGCAATATTTAACAGTAGATAAAAAGCAACTGTAATAATAATATTATAGCTTTAAATAATTCAGTATTCAAATATTATATATTATTCAGCTTATAAGCAAACCTTTGAGCAATTGTTCTTGTTTTTTTGTTAATCCTCTAAATTTGTTTCTGTTTTTTTCTAAATCTTCTTTTAATCTATTGAGATCGGCTGCAGAAACATTCTGATTTTTTTCATCTGTATGACCTTTTACTATGTATTCAACGGGACCTTCAGAATTTAATACATCTTCAACATTTTTTAATTTTTTATCTGAACCTTCCATGTTTGAAACAAGTACCATTGACATTCCAGTAGTTTTTTCAAAATGCTTTCTACGTTGTTCAAAATCTTCTTTCCACTGATCATAACGTCCCAACTCATAATCAACAATTTCCATGCATAAAGAGCCAATCTGCAAAAAACATCATAAAGACTTTATTGGATGAAAAATAAATTAAATGCGATGACAAACTTTAAAAATAAATTATTCATTACCCTGCATTCAACAATGACTTTATGAAATTGACTATAAGTTGAAAAACAGAAAAAAATGTAGACTATGTTTATCGCAAGGTCAATACTTTTTCTCCAATCCTCCCGTAAAAGCCTTGCTAATACACTCAACAAAGATTCTAAAATGATGACAAGTTATTTTTTTTCTATAATATACTAAGTTCTCTTATTTAGCTGTTTGAAAAATATTCTTACCATTTTTGGTCAATTCAAGCAAGTTATCTGGTACTCTTGCTAGTTGTAAAATTAATGATGATCCTTTAATTTTATCTGGTATTTCTTCATATAATAATTCCATATAAGCATCAATGTTACTGATATTTGCACGCTCTGATTCTCCACACTCTCCACTCAGTGAACTTGAAGACATAGGTCGAGGAAATCGCTTTCCACCTTCATTGTCTGAAAATTGTTATTTTTTTAGTATATTATTAAAATATATCAATAACTTTTGTTAGTCACCATCATTGTTTATTCGTCTGGTTTGAAGGTAATAAATAAGTTGCTCTACTTCTGGTAATTTTGACGAATGAATCAAAGAACATTGTTTAATTACATCCATAGCTAAAAGTCTAACATTTGTATCTTTGTTGAGACTATTGAGTCTAATGATTTTTTGGCATTCCTTTAAAAAATATAAAAATTACCTTTTATATAAAAACATGATTCTGACTACAATTTTTACCTTACGATCTCCCAACATAGGGTCCCCAAGTTCTCCCAATATAAGAGCTTCGACATCATAATTAACAACTAAAGCTTTTTCTGTTGGATGAACGTCAAGATTTCCAGGTCTTATTTTTCTAAAATCATTAAAATAAATACCAATATAATTGTTGAAAATGAAAAATTCCTCTGACAAATAGTTCTATGAATAAAAATTAATGATAGTAAGCAGTAGCTGTAATAATAGTTCTACATTTGTTTAGGTTATATCACGTTTAAAAAATCCTTTTATTTAATAACTGAATTTTAGTACACTGAGATTGACCTCCAAAAAATTTACCACTATTACATTTTAGTGCGCGCAAAAAAAATAAGCATCAAGAATTGAAAGATCTTTGATTTACAGAACTGTCAAATCACTTACTTCTTGAGAAAACTTGCTTTATCCATATTTGCATGGAAAGTATATCCAATTTATTGAGCTTTTAATATAATTTTAAGACATTTTTAAGTAAATAAGTTAAATATCAATCAAGTATTTTTTGTGTTCGATAAAAATATACATAGCATTCATGGAAAAACTAATGGTAATAAGTAATAACGTAACAAATTATGGAAGCCGCGATCGTCACCCTACCAACCCTTATCAAGACTATTTGGTAACTCCGCGAATTCGTTGCTACACATTCATGTAACAGTATAGTTGGTCGAGCAATGGGTAATAAAATGTTAACAATTAATTCTCAAACAATTTTTATTAGATAAGCTCTATTTGTGCTCAATGCACTGACCGTTTATTTTATTATTTCAATCGATTATGATCAATACCCTATCTTTATATAGTTTTTCCATAATCGATATTTACATTCAAGCATTTGAATTCGATCCTCATTTTAGTATTAAAAGCAAAAAATTATTTTCCTTAAATTTATCGCAGATACAGTTTGATACAGAGAGGCGATCGAAATTTATTTTTCAAAGCAAGAAATTCGTCATAACGATATTTTCTAAATAATTTAAAAGTATACGAGCATCGAGGTAGCATCGTCTGCTGCGTTGATCTAGTGTTTGTTTATGGTGGCTATGCCAGCTGTCAGCAAAGTTTTCTTACATAAATTTGCGATCGCCGTAGATCGCGATAGGATCAATTGACATTCGAATTGACTGGATATTTAAATTGAAATAATTTATGTCGCGTCGTATTTAGCAGTCGGCATAAGAGCGTTGCTCCCAGCCATCACCATCATCGGGCCTACATGGTCAAAGCCGGTACAGTAGTGTAGTTCGGAACGCATAATAGTGGCTGGACCGATTGACGCGTGACGATCTGCCGAAAGTAATACAAAAGACTGGCATGACAACAACAACAATAACAACGACAATCGCATCGCTCATCAATAATCTACCATCATCTATCTCAATTTTATCAATTATTTTATCGTTTGCTCCGTGTGAGGAGTATATCAGTTTAAATTGGTAAATAATATTTTTATAAGTATATCTAATTGACACCGCGACGAAAATAATCATAACACTTCATATAAAATTTCGCGAAGCAACTGCGGATCATTGGAATTTTTATTGAAACTACACTCGCATCTCTAACTAGGTTGTGAAACATTGTTATACGAATTATGGCGGAAAAACAGAGTTCCCAGATAAAAAATAAGGAGCGTCCAAAAGTAGTGGTTGATTGCGATGCAGGATCGGACGATGTCTTCGCTCTGGCGATGCTGATAGCTGCCCATAAATTGGAAAATATCGAATTGCTCGCGATAACTTGCGTCGATGGCAACACCAGCGTGGATAACGTGGTGAAAAATGTTTTCAGAACGTTGCACGTTTGCGATGCTTCGAACGTAAGTTTCTATTTTATAACTATTTAAAAAAAATGTGCGTACAAAGATTGATCTTTATCAAGCATAGATACCTGTCTTTAAAGGAGCCAATTCAGCACTTTTGAACGTGAATGATGAATATAAAAACATTGCTTTCCATGGATTGGATGGATTAGGTGATGTTTTTGTGAATAAGCCTGTTGATATCAGGGCCCTCAAGGAAGAACATGCTGTATGTGCATTACACAGAATATCAAATGAATATCATGGTAAATATCACGTCTGTTTACAGTATTTTAAATTTTATTGTATTTTTATATTCACTGGTAAATTTGAAAATTAGGACAAGTCACGGTTATTTGCTTGGGACCTTTAACAAATATAGCTCTCACAATGAAAATGTACCCACAATTTGTTAATTCTGTAGACAAATTTTTAGTTATGGGTGGAAATAATACAGGTAATTGGATTTAAAATATCAATTATTAGAAACATAAAATTCTTTTAATAACTGCAATATCTACTTATTTTTTAGCTGTTGGAAATACCACTTCTCAAGCAGAATTTAATTTTTATGCTGATCCAGAAAGTGTTCATATTGTACTGAGCAATGTAAAAAAAAATTTATATCTTTTACCGTGGGAAACATGTATGAGATCAACAATTACTCATGTAAGTTTGTTTGTGACAAATTGATAATTTACTATATTACTATAACAATATATTCACTTCTAACATTGCATATTAAATCTTAGGAATGGAGAAAAACTGTTGTAGGAAAAATCAACAATCCTGTTAATAATTTTTTGAGTACAATTGATGATGCAATTTATGATCAAGACAAGAAAATTAAAGTACCTTTCTATAGGCCTTGTGATGCTTTTGTGAGTGCATTTTTCCTTAGACCAGACATTGCCAAAAGTATAAAAATGTATCATATTGACATTGAGCTCAATGGTAAAAGAACCAGGGGACAAGTAGTAATTGATCATTTAATGATGAATGAACCAAATGCTTATATCATTGAAGAGATCAATTATGAACTTTTTAAAGATTTAATGATTTTCACTGCTGATCCTAATACAGAAAAAAGTAGAGAACTTTTAAATTGGTAATTTATTTATTATAAAAAAAACAAACTGGCAATTTTTATTTTTCCTAAATTTTTAACAATCAAAGTTATTTAGGAATGTAAAATAATACTTTTTAACACAATTTTTTTACAGCAGTTGTTAACTAGTATAATCAAATAAGTAACATCAATAAAATATATTAACATTATCATACGTAAAGATCTTTTAATTACATTATTTTATACCACACTGGAGGAAGAAAGTAATTATGATGTCTCTTTTGTTTGTGATTCCTGTGCTGCCTGAAATTGACACCTGGCTTGCCTACTTGTTTCGAGCAGCTCTTTTAGTTCAACGTAGAGATTGTCATTTTTGGATTCTATGGAATCTAGGGCTGCAGCGAGTTGATCTAACTGTGCATTAAGTACTTCAAATTCTAAAACAAATAATGAAGTGTTTAATTTTATCCAGTTGTTTAAACAAACGTCATCGAAAAAAAATCAACGTTATAAATTATATATTGTATTTACCGGGTTCTTCTACATCAACGTCATCCACCGCCTCCTCCTCCATTGCCTCTGGATCGTCGGGAATATTATTCACGTCGTTATTTGTTGGGTTTTGCTCAACGTTCTCGTTTGGCTGCACAACCATGTTTTTGCGTTGATTTGTTTATGTGTCTTGATCAATGTTTCGCGTCAAACTGTAGTGAGCATAACGAGCCTGATCAGCTGACAGCAAGTTTTTTGCACGTGACATCCATTAGACACGAAACTATATCTATATCTAAGACAGCAAGGAAAATTATCAGAAAACATAGCGCGTGTTTCGGCGACAAATGAGAACGAGGCTTAAACTTAGAGCGGTACTTTTTAAATTTTCAGTGATCGATTAATTTCTTGGAATTTTTCAACAGCGCGAACGAAGAACTTGATCGAACGTTTGTTCTTTATTTTTTAGTTGCGAACGACAAGGTGTGAAGTTAACAATAACATAAGTTTGCTAATCAATTACCACGGCTTGAAAAATGTACCAATCGTACTTATTTTTGTGTTTATTATTTACCATTCGAGATAAACTGGATCAAATTGTCTTCGTTCGGGAAATTAACACATGAATTGAATGAACGAAATGTGTTATCTCTAATCGTATTCATATCCGTACCTTCAGTACTTTGATCAATTACGTTGGTGATCGATAATAGGTTTTAGTGTTTTCAAAATTTCATGTGATGCACCAAAGTTCACGAAAGGTGAGTAATAAACTTTTAGAATGAAAAAAATTCAACTTAATTTTTAATATATTAAAAAAAATAAACATCGTTTTAAATGGATATGCTTTTCCAACGAATTTATTTCCATGCGAGGTTAGGTTGTATTTTCTGTTATTATGTACGTTAAGCTTGCATTAAAGCCGTAATTATGCAATAACTGACTCAAGATTATCGTTTTATAAAAAAACGTATAATACATTAGCAAATGCAAATTATTTTTCGGCCGTCCGATGACTCTTCAGTTTTCATCCCGTATTAAGCGGACTGAAATGCGCTTGTGTGGCTATTCCAATCAGCAATGCGCCATGCTCGCATGTCTTAGTTTTGCTTCGTGAAAAAACGGGGTCATGATTATTATTCGCCCGTACAAATCACCGCTTAGCAATTCTCACATTGGAAATAATGCCGTACAGGCGAAAGTTTCTCTTCAAGATGTGCCAGCCAGACACGAAAGTTGCACTTTTTAGTTTCTAAATGTGTACGCCTACGGCCACATTGGCTAGATCGAGTGCGATCTGTTTTTCTTTTGCTTTTTGAGATTTCAATGTGCTCAAACCGGCGCTGTGTAACACTGAAACTGATAAGATACTTGTACACGATTGTTATTTTCGGAACATCATTTGATTACATGTCTTGATTGTGATTAGGTCGTAATTCAAAGATAAATTGACCTTTCAAATTCAGTATACATTAACGAAATGCTTATAACATTGATGCCAAATATTGTTTCCAAAAGTTCCTTCTTTTAAAATCTGTGATTTTATTCAACGAAAGACTGTTTTAATTAAGTTTGGTTCACTTATTTCTGAAAACCTTAATTTTAGTCATCGTTTTGAATATTCCAAAATTCAAGGTAAATGATCATGAAAATTCCATAATTTTAAGAGTACTTATTTTTCTCTAAATACTCCATTAATTCTGCTTTTCTTGTAAAGATTGGTTTCAAATTAAACTATAATTGTTCATTTACAGTACCATGAGTTCCTTACCACAATCAAGTTTGATAGCCGCAGCAGTTGGTGCAACAATTGGAGTGATAACTGTAGCTGCAGCTATGGTTTATAATAAAATATTAGAACGTCAACAGCACTCGAGCATGAATAGAAATATTGATAAAGTCAATCGTAAGGTTGCAGAATTGCAGTCTGAATTAGAAGAACTAAGGTAACAATTTTAAAAATATCAATTACAAAACACTTTTCGGAATCATAAATTCATTCTATTTTTTTCAGAGCACAACAAATTCTTTTGCAACAGAAAAATAGAAAAAAAAGAATAGCCAAAAGACAAATTTATACTGAAGAAAATACACTGTCAGAAACTGATAATGTTGACATAGATACATTTTCTTATACAACTGGTACAGATTTTGGAGATGATGAATTTTTCGATTGTTCGGATGATGAAATTGATCCTTTGGAAGCTGATAATGGGTATATATTTAGTGTTACTGAGAATGTTGTTTGTACCTCTGTTGAATTTGAATTGCTTTTTAGATACAATTATTTTTAATTTTTAATCATTTGCTAGCTGTAACGTTTAATGTCTTTGCTCGTTATATTGTAAGATTTTGTAGCAATTCAATGATATCAGAGAACCATGCAAACAATTTCTAGTGTAAAAAGGCAGATATTATATGTTTAGTGCCGTAGGACTACCAATGGAACAAGCGAAGACCCAGAATTGCTAGAACTTGACAAAGAAAACGAGGACCCAAATTCGCATGAAGTTTTATATATTAAACTAAAAAATTTATTAACTGAAAATTCAAATGATGTGGAAATTGTTTGGAGATTCGCAAGGGCTTGTTATAATATGTATAATGCACAAAAAGATAATCCAGAAAAGGCTAAAGCCTACTTATTTGAAGGTAGGCTTTTGTTTAATTCAATGGAGTTCTTGAATCTTTACTTAAAGAAAATAATATCTTTCCTTCAATTTTTAGGCTGCGAAGCATGTGAAAAAGTTATACACATTTGTCACGCTAAATTATACAAATGGTATGCCATTATGGTTGGTTTGAAATGTACATTTTTGCCAACGAGAGAAAAAATCGAAGCTGGATATCAGTATCAAGACTATGTGCTAAAAGCTCTTGAATTAGATCCCAATGATTGTTATTTACACCATTTATTAGGCAGATTTAAATATGAATTATCAGGCTTAAGTTGGATTGAGAGAAAAGTAAGTTGAATTTGTAATAAATGTATGTTTCAAATTATTTTACATCATTTCTGAATTTAACAGGTAGCAGCCACTTTATTTTCTGAGGTTCCAAGCGCTACTTTTGAAGATGCAATTCCACACTTTGAAACTGCAGATAAATTAGGGGAAAAGCATCACTTTGAAAATTCATTGTTACTTAGTAAATGTTATATTGCCATGGGAAAATATTCTGAAGCTATACCATGGTTAAAAAAAATAAGTAAGTGTCCTGACAGCAATACAGACGAAGAAACTAAATATCAAATTGAAGCAAATAAACTTTTGGAGAAATATTCCGATTATTGTACATAGACAGGGTGCATTTTATCATTCCATGTGTGAATAAGTGTTATTCATTTGTAACAGTAGTTAAACGTGAATGTAATATAAGAGTATATATGAAACAGTACGTGGTGATAGTAAATGATAAACTTGTGTAGTGTCTGAATTGTGTACATACATTGATCATGAAAACTTTTTCAAAATTTCTCATTGTTTAGTATAAAAGAAGTGTCATCAAAGAGTATTAATGTATTGCATCAACAAATTGTTCATTGATAAAAATTTGTCGTCAATTTTTTCAAAAATTCTTAAATTGGATGTAAAGATACAAATTTCATTGGTTCTTAGGCAGGAATTTTATGAATTACTTCTAGCTCAATGAAATTGAGAGTTTTATATGATTTGATTTAAGTATATAAATTCATGTGGTATGAGTACTTTTTAAAAAAATGCGAAATGCTTTAATTACTTTACATGTTGTAAACCTATTTTATGTTACATGACTTCTTTCCTATATTCAAGAAAATATTAGTGAATTTTGTACAATACTTTCGGTTGCATGATTGTTTAAGTAAGATCGATTAAATTTAAATGGTGTTGGAAAAACAGATTTTTTGTTGACATTGATAGATCGAAGCTTTGAAAATATACTTTTTAGGGATGCGTTTTCTTAGGTAGAAAAGTACTAAAAAAAATCTGTACAAAATCTCATGTAACTTGTTTATCTTTCAATGGCTAATTGTTTGGCTTGTCAAGCCTCGTGAAGTTTTGTCAAGACGTGTAGTTACATAAATTTATTGTTATTGAATGATACCTTCTAGGGTCGTAATTTTTTATATTTCGACTAAATATCATTGATAAAATAAAAAAGTTTGATAAAAATTTGTTTTAACGTAACGCATAAATTATTATTAATTTTTGTTTCCTCGCCAATCAACGCTATTTTTTTGATAATTTTATTTCAAGCAGAAGAACGAAGTGAAAATTAACCATCAACAAGTAATATATCGAATGAAAGGCACCGTAATTGTGTTTCAAGTGATAAAATAGAACGGATAGGGGCGGTAAAAGTAGGGCTCGAATAATGCTGAAGCATCAATCAGATACACGGATGTATTCGAAAGTCGCGAGATCGTAAATTTAAAACGAACCGATTGCATTAGATCGGCTGGGGACGTTTTATTCGAGATCGATCGTAACATTAGCGGATCGCGAGGAAACGCGTTGGACGCGCTGCTGCAGCGTCGATCGGATCGAGCCGCGTGCATATAAGCCGATCGAAATTGGCATATTACGTGTAACAGACGCGCTGATATCGCATACACAACAGGCGCGCGAACCGGATCAATATTATGGTCCAATAGCCGGCGCAGATGCATAGGGATGACGATATTATAGTCGAGAGAGACGTCGAGTCTCTTACAAGCTGCAGCTGCCAAAGTCGACTGGCCCGTTGTATATAGAAAAGGGAGGGAAGCAGCCCCCGCGCGCGTATCTCGCCTATATTTATCGTTACGCTATATAGTTGCGCGCAGCATCCAATGGTGCGCTGCACGTGCTATGCCACTACCACCACCACCACCACCACCACCACCAGCGTCTTACAACGCTGTATATATATATAGCTGCGCCTCCACACCCCGCCTTTTATATACTTTACTATATATATCTACCCCTGTATATAATGTGTGCGCTACGCGAGGGCGGAAGCATGCGCGCGTGTATGTATAATGTATATAGGAGAACCAGTGGTCGTGCGCGCCTATGTCCGTTATAAGTATATGTGTATAGCACTGCATGTAGAGATACACACGTACACGACTCGTGGGCTAGAGCATCGTAGTCGCGAGCTCCGAATGCGCGAGCCCAACCAGCAGCAGCAGCAGTTGTGCAGTAGTACATCGAGCCCCGAGATACAATAGAGAGAAAGAGAAAGAGAGAGAAGAGAGAAGCCCCTGGCATAATGTCAGAGGGAAGCCAGGTGGTGGTGCGTGGAGAACCTAAAACTCGCGATTCCGCTGCTGCTCGTGCTTACGTCTCGCTCGAGTCTCGCTGCTTCGTGTAATTATTGCAAAGTAGCTTGTGCAGCAGTGTTGTTGTGCGCGTGATTTTTTTCCTAAGGCCGCGAGTCGTCATCTCTGTACAAATTCACTGCACCGGAGTTGCCGTGGTCCTACGTAAATATAAGCTCAAAGCGGCGATGGGCGATCAACTCGATGGATTGACGGTGCAACGACAACAACCCCTGCTGCATCGTCGTCGTCAAAGCAGCTCGTCGACGCGTCCAATTCAACGTAAATAATAATCCAGAAGCGGTAGGTTGATGATTAATTTTTTTTCGTTATCATTGAACTTTGATATTTGATATACGTTTGTTATTAAATCTCGCGCTGCGGAGTTCAGGTCGTTCTGTTTAGTTAACGAAACGCACCGATATATATGCTCTATATATAGATATAGAATGTATACAAACGAAAATAGGAGAGCTGCTGTACGCGTATAATATGTGCTTCGACTATAGCGCGGGGGTGCTTACATACGTCCCGCAGCGATTTGGTACGAGCAGCTGCTCTTCTATTTTATTTTATTTTATTTTATTTATTTTTTTTTTTTTTTTTCGAGAATCACAAGCGGAATTTGTCACAGTCTCGCGACGCATTGGCGTCATCGTTTTGCACGGCCCAATGTCGAGAGAGATAGAGAGAGAAATTCGAGGCTACTCAGGCCTCGTGGATATTACCACATATATAGGTATATAGGGTAGGGATGGATAGGGGTGTAATCTGCCCTTGCGACAAACAGCAGTCAGCGTTCGTCGCGACGAAAAAAGGCGCGCGCGTTCGAGGCCGCACAGTGTAGATTTCTTTTCTAGATAGACGAACGACTCGTCTCGTTATTTTGTCAATTAATAAAACTTGGATGTATATTTTTATATTCGAAATTTTATCGGAGTGTAAATTCGACTTTTAATAAAGGGAAGAAAGATCGTGGAAAAAAAAAGGGGCGAATTACCAAGTGTCCGTGAAAAAAGGCGATCGGTACACGATGAGAAGTAAGAATAGCCGCGATCGCCGCGAAAGTAACGAGGATTAAGCACGATCGTGTAAACGCGTGCAAAGAGTCAATAATAATATTGTCTACCGCGTCCACGAAATATATAATGTAAGCGAGATGCACTGGTATGCGGCCTACAAATCCTTATATACATATGACAATACAGTAACGCGCGGATTACGTATACGGTTTCGTACGCTGTACTTACCGATTCGAATAAATCGGCTATTGTTACGTACGGATATCGGTATCGAGAGAGAGAGAGAGAGAGAGGCCTAACGAGCCACGCAACATGCCACATATATATATGCGCAATTTCAATCGTCCGATCCGACTGATTCGTTATTACATGTATACACATGCAGCACGAGACGACGACGACGAGGAGACGATGACCGGATCGACGCTGGTCCGCTGCTCGCGCGGCATCGCGTACGCGAGCATGTGGTACGCCAGCATCATCGCGGGCTTCCTGTTTCTCGCCTGCCCCTTCCTCTGGGTGCTGCTCGTGTCGCCGCCCCTGTTCCGGCGCTGCGCCGAGCTCCTCTTCTCCTGCTGGGAGATGTACCCGAGCTGCCTGATGGAGCTGCTGGGCCCCAAGATCCTGATGACGGGCGAGCACATCGATCCGCGCGACTCGGCCGTCCTCGTGATGAACCATCGCACCCGGGTCGACTGGAACTTTCTCTGGGGCGCCATGTACCAGGCCTGCCAGCCCCGCATCGCCGCGCACAAGCTCAAGTTCGTCCTCAAGGATCCGGTGAAGCACGTGCCCGGCCCCGGCTGGATGATGCAGATCAACAACTTTCTCTACATCAAGCGACGCTGGGACGAGGACCAGCAGCGACTGGCCCGCTCGCTCGACTATCTCCTCGCCCAAAAACTGGCCGTGCAGCTGCTCATCTTCCCCGAGGGCACCGACTTCACCCCGAGCAGCAGCCGGCGCTCGGACCTGTACGCCGCCCAGCACGGCCTGCCCGAGTACCGACAGCTGCTGCACCCCAAGACGACGGGCTTCACCTACGTGGTGATGCATCAGCAGCAGGCCGGACGCCTCGACGCCGTCTACGATCTCACCATCGCCTATCCCGATCACGTTCCTCAGGTAACGCCGACGGACGCGTCTTTTTTCTTTCGCTCGCTTGCTCGATTATCGTTCGATTACGTGCTCTTCGTGCGTTGCAGTGCGAGCTGGATCTGCTGCGAGGCAAAATGCCCGACGAGGTGCACTTTCACGTGCGCCGAATAGCCAAGCAGGACGTGCCCAAGGACGAGGAGAGTCTCAGGAGGTGGCTCGAGGACCGATGGCGGATCAAGGAGCGCCAGCTCGAGCTCTTTCACAAGAACAAGAGCTTCGTCGGCAGCTACGTCTGGCCAAAGTCGCCCCGACTGCCCTTGATCCTTACCTTCCTCTTTTGGACCTCCTTGTCGAGTGAGTGCAACAGCACGAATCTATATATAATCTTTTCCTTTTTATCTTTCGCCACTTGACATCGATGATCAACGATTCTTTCTTTTGCTTTTTCCAGCTCTCATGATGATCTTGCTCGTTACCTCGCCCCTGTTTCAGCTCTGGACGATCGCCAATTTCGTTCTGTTCGTGCTCATTTCTGCCTACACCGAGGGTTTCAATCAGCTCGAAATAAGCTGGTACTGGAAGTGGAAGTGTTTTTTAAGCAAGTGCACGGGCTCGTCGAAACGCGAGTAAATTTCGCAATTACTGCGTTGATAAGTAACAAGCGCGCGTTACAAAAAATAAATCAATGAATGAGCCTGGCTATTCTCGTACACGGTACTGTGATAATGAAATCATGTTTGCGTCATTGTGATGAAAAATCAACGATGCTCTACTACGCTTATTACCGAGTGAGTATGTATATGGCCGAATCGTGTACTCGCATCGCTACTAATTTCCAACGAAAATAAAACAAATGTTATCGTAGAGCATTAATTGTGAATTGAAAGCTTTTGCTTTTGGTCGGATTTTCTATAAAACGATTCGATTGACGTTGTTGAAGAGAGTATTTAAAGAGGAAACACCTAAACGTTAGATACGAGATCTATTTTTTTACCATTACCAAGATATTTTTGATATTTTTCAAAAGAGATTTTTTTGGGCTTTCGTTCGTACCTGAGAATGTAATTTAAATTTTACACCGAGGAAAAAAATTATGAATACACAAGCGACTACTAATCGATAAAAGGCGAACTTGCTGTAACTATCATTGCCACACTTTTGAGCTATTCGAAACAAATGGGTACTTTATACAACAGGGTCAAGAAACACGCTAGTATATATTTTTCTCCGTGTAATAAAATATTTTTATTCCATTTCAATTATTTGAAACAAATTGCATTTTCTAAGCTGCTACGTTTCAAAATTGAAATTAATAATAATATACGATGAAAAACTTGTAAACTCGTTACTCGTGTAAAACCTACCTACTACATATTCTAAAATTAAAAATGTCTGCCACGATTAAAGTTAAATTGAACCTTCGATGGTTCGTTCAAATGTTTCCTATATACTTCTACGTTCGAAAATCAGTACAAACACTTTTCTGACTATCGACTAAAGATTACTTAATGCAAAATTAGCGATGTAATAAAATCTAGACTATAAGTAGAAAATTTTCAAAGTAAGACACATGTGTTATGAATCAGAATGTATTCATAAACGAGTCATCCTTTGAATCAGTATTGCTATTGTACGTAAACGAATGAGGCTATTCTTGTAAATTGATTTTTCCGAATATACATTTACGTTGATTTTTAATTACTTATATAATTAAAGTTTTCAGCAAAAAAAAGGAGTCCGTAAGCGATAAACATGTTCAGAGTATGAATACAAAACTATTTTTTAAATTATTCAAGTTTCCGCCGTGAAAAAAGAAAAAGCACGAGTATTTTTTTAATAAAAACAAAATGTTGACTCGTGTACAAACTGTAATGTTCCAATAGTTTTGCCACACCTTGTATAACGAGAAGGTGAATTCGTGTGCCAAAGAAATGAGAGACCTTAGCTGGTTATCGATATTCGATCCTAAGGTATTTATTGTACATAAAATACATGACAATTAATGTAGTTGCAGATGTCAAAAGGAAAAAGAAATAGGTATGCAATACGCTTAGGTATATGATCTACGGCGTCGAGCAATTGAATTCATTATAAAAACTCGTTATTTCATTATTTGCTACGTTGCATCTCGAATGATATTCTAATGGCGGGTTATGAACCTGCGAGTAAATGTATTATTCTTGGAATTAGTCAAATTGGAATGCAAACATAGACGGATATTAAAAATAATGATCGAAAATAAATTCAACAAAGAGACGAAGGACATTTTGAAAAAGTTACCTGTATAAACAATCTACCAAATAATAAGAGTTAATAAGTCGAGCTAGGAAGTAACGCTCAAAGAAAAAATTTCATTTTTTTCGCGAGCGAGCCAAAAATTCACGATAAAAAAATATATATAAATGACTAAATTATACTGTCTAAGACAAAATATGTGAATAATTAAAACGAAGGAATTTATTGTAATTCGAATAGACGCAAGTCGAGTACTTGAGTAAAGACCAATAAAAGTGGAAAATTCAGTGTTGATTTGTCTATGTTGATTTTTATTCCTGAAAAAATTCATAGGTCGCACGATCGACCGCAGACGGCTCGTTGGTAAGCATCACTGTCAACTTATCGACTAATTTGAATGTCAAAAAAAAAAAAAAATGTGCTTATCAGCCAAACGTTAGAGAAGAGTCGAGCGAACGCGTCGCGTTGACTTTATACTCAGTGTGTCGCATGGCAAATTGAATACGCGTATCATTTTCGTTGGAAAATCAAATGTGTCTTTGGCAAAATGAAATAGCGCATTGATCATCGAGGAAAAATGTCTGCAGCGGAGGCTGAAACGGAGCGCGACGACGACACTGTGGCGGCTGAAAAAAATTGGCCGCGATCGCGGCAAAGGATGAAAACCGCGCTCCACACCTCGTTGATGTACCTCAGCACGTTCTCGGCGTTCGCCTTCTTCGCTTGTCCCCTTTTTTGGACGCTTCTCGTTTATCCGCCTCTGTATCATCGAATCATCGAGTGGATCGTCTCTTACTGGGAATTGTATCCCGTTGTCAGTGAGAAAAAGCAAAAATTCGTAAAAATAGTCGCGTCTAAATCGTTCTCTGTATATGTGCAAATCAGGCGCTAATGGGCATCTTCGGGCCGAAAGTCTTGGTTTCGGGCGATCGCATAGTAGCGACGGAGCCGGCGATTCTGATCATGAACCATCGCACCGAGGTCGACTGGATGTTTTGGTGGTGCGGCATGTATCAGGCCTGCTTGCCAAGAGTCGCCGTTCACAGGCTAAAATTCATCCTCAAAGACCCATTGAAACACATACCAGGACCAGGTTGGTATCGCTCACTTACCAATTGCGAATACGATTGCCAGGCGCAATTCTTACAGGCTGGTTGATGCAAATGGGCAATTTCGTGTTCGTCAAGCGTAACTGGCAGGAGGACAGGAGGAGCTTGGCGCGCTCGCTCGGCCACTTGTCCGTGCGCAGTCCCGCCTGTCAGCTGTTGCTCTTCCCGGAGGGCACCTCGTACCACTCGAGCACCAAGCGATCGTCGGACGCCTACGCGGCCAAGATGGGCCTGCCGATCTATCGTCGCGTTCTGCATCCTCGCACGACGGGATTCGGCTTCGTGGCTCGGCATCGCTCGGAGCGCGCGAATCTCGACGCGGTCTACGACATCACCGTCGCGTATCCCGATCTCGTGCCGGAGGTTCGTGTCCCGCGAACAACGACGACGAATAATAATAATAATAATAACGAGCGACAAATAAATTGATTCGCGAAGCTCGGCGTGGAGTTTCTCAACGGAAAGGTGCCAAAAGTCATTCATTTCAACGTCGTGAGAATAGGCAAGGATCAATTGCCGACCAACGAAGAGGATTTGAAGACTTGGCTCGAGGAGAGATGGCGACTCAAGGAGCGGCAATTGGACAAGTTCGACAAGTATAAAAAGTTCGATTCGGAGATTTGGCCGGAAGCGAAGGAGCGGGCTCCCCTCGTGGCGGCCTTGATCTTTTGGACCTTCTGCTCGAGTGAGTCGCTTGGAAGAACATGTATTCACACGTTACTTCACACGTTTTTTTTGTCGATACAGCTTTACTCTTGACACTGCTCGCGACATCTTTTTACTTTCGCCTGTGGCTGCTCGGCTGGTCGATCATGTGCTTTTCCGCCTCTTACTGGACGAGCGGCTTGGATCGTTTGCAAATACAGTGGGACTCTGCGTGGACGTCTTTCGTAACGAGAAACAAAAGACGCCACCGCTGTGAATGATCAATTTTTTGCCTTTGTTAAATGTAACGATTTTTTTAAATGAAATACAGTGGCAATAAATTCAATTATAAATGCATTCGTGAAACCTCTCGCAGTTCAAAATTGAAATAAAAATTCGAGTGCGACTCGCTTATCAGCTCTTCGGCAACGAAAGACCTTAAATTATCCGCGCATCAAGGCGAACGCTCAAAATAGTTGAAATAGAAGCAGCAACGGTATCGGCTCCATGCGGCCGGCCTCGGATATAACCGATGATAACAAGTCGCTAATTGACCAGCTGCGAGGCGGCTCTTGTCATCGCTCGTAGTTGGGTAGTTTCTTGATATTTTGCCATGTTTCGCATGTCTTGAAAAAAGAAGAAAGAAAAGGAAAAATGGTTTTTTCGGTAAAAAAGGCCGTCGAGCCGCTGCTTCGATTCGTGCGAGTTCAGCTGTACATCGTCGCCTGGTCGATCAGCTGCGTCTCGGTCATCCTGATCTTCCTGTTTCCTACGATCGGAGCTATACTCCTGTCGCCGGCGTTATGTCAAAAGTATCGCGATGAGATCGCGTCGTTTTTGGAGAAGCACAACACGGTATATCGATTATATTTATCAAAAAAAAAGAAAAAAAAAAAAAAAATTGACCAACGTCTCTGAAAATTGGCGATAAATTGAGGCAGAAACTCTTGGAGCTGTTCGGCACGAGGTTCGTCGTGTACGGCGACCCGATCAAACGCACCGATTCGGCCCTCCTGATTTCCAATCACAGGACTTTGGTCGATTGGGATCTCTGCTCGGCGGCGACCCATCAGCTCTTCATGCCTCTGTCCTACGCCAACAACCTCAGGATCGTCGCGAAAGATCAAGTGAGACGCTTGCCTGTCTTGGGTATAAACGCACACAGCTCGGCTTTTGCCATTTTACATGATATGTATTTCAAGAATGTCTCGTCTCACGACGATTTCGTTGCCTGAAGGTGCGCTCGGACAAATGAGGGGGGCGATTTATCTCAAGCGCAACTGGCAACTCGATAAGGACACGTTCGTCGAGTACCTGGACTATCATCGGGAGATCGGCAAGAAGGTGCAGATACTGTTCTTTCCCGAGGGCACGGACTTCACGGAGAAGAGCAGGCGCAACTCGGACAGGTACGCCTCGGAGCGCGGACTGCCGCTCTATCGGCACGTGATCCATCCGAGGACCACCGGATTCGCCAACGTCGCGCTCTACTGGCAGCAGATCGATTGCCTCGACGCCATCTATGACCTGACCTTCGCTTATCCCGATCTCGAGCCGAACGTGAGTGTCCGCGAATCGAGTTGCGTTTATTTTTTCACTTTGATCGCGATCCGCTATTTACGCGCAGCCATTCAAGAGATTTCTCTGCGGCCATCTGCCCTACGAGATACACGTGTACGTGCGGAGATTCGACAAGGAGGATCTGCCGCGCGACGAGATCGGTTTGAAGCATTGGCTCCAGCAGAGGTGGAAGATCAAGGAGGAGTCGCTGACGCGATTCCACGAGGACAAACGCTTCGACTGTCCATGCAGGAGCGATGACGACGGGACGCCTCTGACACTGTGTTTTATCCTTTGGTCATTCTCGTGCTGTCGGTATTTTCGTCAATATACACTTCATCTTCTCGCGTCCGGAAATTCTTGACGATTTTATTTCTATTTTTCAGTTGTCGTATTGATGTTACTGATAAAGTCGCTGCTTTTTCAAATCTACGCTGTTTTCCTCTTCGTCACCGTGGAGATCGTGTCTTTTACTGTCGGTTTGGATAGACTCGAAGTGAACTGGTATTGGAGACGGAAATCAATTTTGTCGAAATTACAGTCGAATAAGAACAAACGAGCTGCATGAACTTAATTTTGCAATTATTGTCCACAAGGTTACCATTGCTGGGATGAAAGTCTATTTATAGTTTTATGTGAAAACAGGATTTTTTTACTACGCGTTCTGCTCTCGAGAGTTTTGACCTAGGGCAACTATACTCAATAGGGAACTTGGTCAAATTACAAATAATCGTATTATCATTTCATCACCTTTCCCTACTTTTCTACTTTGGAGCTTTTGACTCGGCCGCAAGGTGGCACAGCGCCACGAAAAACTCGTGCCCGCAAGAAGAACAGCCGAGTTTACACTACTATTATAAGTACAGAGGAGGTGTTGACAACGAAGTTGTTCTTTGAGCCGAGAGAAGTCAGTTCGTAGTGTTATGATCGGCATTATAAGTCTAGTAGCAGAGTCAGATAAGCAGCAGCACACCGCGGAATCTATCGATCCCCAAATCGGCGAGCAAGCAATCAAAAGCCCACAGACAGTCTGGACGCAGCAACAACCACTATAAAATCTAGTACTTATAAAATTGAAATTAGTAATTGATCCGTCCAAGTTTTAAGTGTTCAAAATATATCATCCTCAAACTTGATTTGAGCATATTCTAAAATTTTACCAAAACGGAACGAATTTTTCGTTTTAAATAAGCACGAGAAAAGGGAAATGGAGGATTTGATAAATACTTTCACAAGTATTGAAGATATAGACATTATAGATGCCAACAATTTTATACGGGTTACATATCATTATTTGATCCACGAAGCGATAGATTCTTCACCGACATTTTCCTCTTTCGCAAAACTGTTAAACTTTTGATGAAAGATAAAATTCTTTTTCCGAGTGGGGACGTTTTTTTTGCATTGGCATTGCATCGAAGACAATTAGAAATAGTGAAATTACTTCAGGAGATTAACAAGATGAAAATCCACGAGTTCAGATTTGAAGATGGTAGATCCGCCCTTCATTACATATATGAAGAAGACAAACATAGCATGGAATACGATGTCAGTGGAAAGATGACCAAGGAAGTTGTGGACTATTTTTTGGAAGATTCACTGGAAATTCACATGGAAGATCACGGTTACACCTACTTTCACGCGGCTTGCATGACGTGGCTGCAGTAAATCTATTTACATACCAGCGGCCCGAAAGTAGCATTTCTCGGCTGCTGCGCTAAATGGGATATTGTTATTTTCGGGCCCGGGGTATGTAAAATCGTATACTGGCCTATACCGGGAAAAAAAGAAAGCGTCAGTGCACGTGCTAATCGACCTCGGCTTCGCCTCGGTCGCTTATTTCACGTGCCCTGGGACTTTTCTATTTTTCCCGGCCTAGGGCAGTAATGTACTACAGGAAAACCCCGTTATTCGCGGATTCGGTATTCGCGGTACTTTTTTGGAACCGAACCCCCGCGAATAACGGGGTTTGCCTGTATCTTGAGCCAAGGCGTAGACGTCAATCTCAGCACATGCATGTGCTCGCCGTTGTTTGTCGCTGCCTATTACAGACACGTTGAGCCTGTACAAATTTTACTAGAGCATGGGCCGAACCCAAACCAGAAGAACCTCGACCATTCGACACCTTTGCATGCTCTTGCGAGGTCGCGGTATCCATGCGAGTGCCCACGTTTATTCCACTTTTGTGATTTTAAAAAACCAGCCAATAAGATCGTTGACATGCTTATTAAAAAACGAGCAAAAATCGAAGGATGTAATCAGTGGGGAGATACGCCTTTGCCATTATCAGTGGCCCGTTTTGACGTGGAGTTTACACGATCTCTCTTGAAACTTGGTGCGAGCTTGAGAAGTTTGAACGCGCGGCGAATGTTTGGCATGCATTTTCCAAACATTGAAATGAAAAACCATCCTTTAACTTTGAACATTGCAAAGGTGATAGAATTATTGCAGTCGGCCGGCTTCCAAATAGATTTCTATACTAGATTCAGAATGATCAAATGTTGGATAAGAGTTAGAGCAAACGATACAATTCTTGTAAAAGGATCCAAAGAAAAAATTTTCATAAGACCACAGTTGGAATTGTTTGCCTCCGATCTGTTCATGACCGATTACTGTAAATTAAATCTGCCGTACACTGTCTGCTGCAAAGTTGCTGAAAAAATGAGTGACGAAGATCTGTTTCGTTTATGCGAGCAAACGAGTGAAGAGAAGCTAATACCGTCGTCGCCTAAGCGAAAAAAACGACGATTATATGTTGAAAGAGGCCACAAATGAGAAATATTTTTAGTACATCTTTTGTTATGAATTTTTATAACAAAACAAGGGATTATAACATGAGCCAAAGGCGATTACTTAGTATCATTAGAATCATTAGTAATCATTACTACAAAGAGTTTGGTTGAAAAACAAGATAAGGATTAGTTGTAAATACTACTTTTTCTTAATACAGCCTAAAATTATCGGCAAGGTTGCGCATTAAGAGTTAGAGTAGAAATAAGTAACTGTATTTATGTAGATATTTTATCATCGTGTAAATATCGATGTGTTTTTTTACATTAAATATAAAAATGAAAAACAAGATTTCGCGAGTCATTTCAATTGTTTTGCGTGAACCTATTATTGATTAGATGTTGATATAAAAATTTTTTCACAATATAATTAGGATGTACATGAATTTAAAATGCGTGAAATATATCGGAAATGAAACATTCTTTGTACGAAAGAACGTTCGGTTTTTCAGTTTTTTATTTGGTGTTTTATTGATTGAATATGGTGTTTATACGAGAAATTTTAGAAAGTTCACGAAATTTTTTTTTGTATTAAATAATAATTTATTTATTTTTCTTGAAATTGTTTAAATTAATACATACGTTTTTAATCTTATTATTTTTCTAGAAATTTGCATAATTTCCATCGAAACAGGTCTCTAGCACTTTTTCCTTGAATTTAATTTTTTTTTGGCTTCAATTTTACTGAAAATCGGCCGTATAATATATTAATATCTAAATGAGCAAAGTCATGACAAACATGATATAAATGTAGTTAAAACTTTGTTATATTCTTAAAGAGTACATTGACAAATGAAAATCCTGAAAATATTACCCCTCTTGGCCCTCATGGATCTATCATTTTTCAAATTTTTCGAAATATTTAATGAAAAATTTGTACTCAAAATTTATATTCATTACCTCAAAAGAATTGTTGTATCGAATGGGCAAACTACTTAACTTTTGATAAATTTCGATAATTGGCAAACCAACAGACACAATAAGACAGCTCCAAAGAAGAAAAAAAATGCATGTATGATACAGGCCTATTTCTCAAAAAAAGAAAACCCCAGAGATCGTCTTATATTGTCTTAGCTTCGCCCAGGCTGCTAATTACATGTACTCTGGGATTTTTCTATTTTTTGCCACCTAGGACAGTAATGTATGATATATGAGATTTGTAATACAAGATTTTTTTTAATCGGTCAAAAAAAGTGATAATTTAATATTATCTTGACAGTCTGAGTTTGTTGATGTAAAAATAGAACGTAATTGGCGTTCAAGCTGAAAATGAAACTAAGTTTGCATAAAGAATATAGTTTTCAAAGTGCAGAAACGTATAATAACTGAGAATAATCCTAGTTAATTCACTAACGAATCACATAATAAAGTTCATGAAAAAAGTGTATTACAATGAGATTTATGTATGTAACAAACTATGTGATAAAAAATATGACTTGAGGTGACAATATGTAATGATTAATTGTGTAATAATTAATGAACCACAACATAAAATTGTTGCAAAAAGGGTATTACATCAATGTAACAAACTATTTAAAAACACCTGTACCTCAAAGCAATATGTCACCTAAATTCATGTGAGTAAAAAACAAGATGTGTTTTAATTCAGAAACAAAATAAAAGTTGAAATGTTACCCGTCAATGTCTTGAAAGTCCAGTTACTTGAATGGTTTTTCAGAGGAATTCGTAGTTCATAATTCGTATAACTTTTTGAATGCGAAAAGAAAGTGATTTTAAATTTTTTTATTGAAAAATTTTATTTGTAAAGATCCACATGAGATGAGTTACAATTCATCAAAATTTTAAAAATCATACAAGTATATGCTTACAAAAAATCATTTTTTAAAAATATTACATTACACATTTCATGAAAAAAATCATCATATTATAGTACGTTAACTACAATAATACTATTCAATGAATAGTTTATTCTTGTATTTTTACATGGTATATTATATATACTATTATATATCTCATTGTTCGCGAGTAAATATATACAAATTTTAGCATTTCTCATGTTTAAAATTGCTTACTCGCTTCTACTGAAGTGTTATATTTAAACTAAGAAGAATTTATTCAAGCTACCTAAGAGATGATATTTATACAATGAAAAAAATTGATAAAAAGAGTCTTTGTCCTAGAAGATGAGATTCCTCTTTATAAAAATATTTTTCTTTTGTACATTTCTTTCGTAAACGGATAAATTGGGCTTGGTAGTGGACTCGGTTTTAGTACGCCTGCTTTTGGTTTTTTATTTCCATCAAATGGAATAGCAGGACTTAGCCTAAGTTGCCGAAAGTATTCGGAAGTATGTTGCTCTTTATTGTGCTCCAGCATTATTCTTACTCGTTTCTTGGCTGATGACGTCTAAAAAAGTTGTAAAATTAATCATTAAAACTGTAAATTATTGAAACTGTAAATTTGTTGTAGTTAGAATTTTACTCACATCGAAGACCTTTGTATTTGGAGTAACCACTGGTGTAGTAACGGGTGTATTCAATTTGGACGATAGTGACTTTTTCACAGCAATTGGTGTTGTAGTAACTGAATCCATATTTTTATTTTTGTTTTTTCCTTTAAGCTTTTTGATTACAGAAACTGCAGGTGTTGTTTCAGAGGTACTCAATTCAGCTGATGTTGAAAGAGAAGTTGAATCTTCTATATTTTTTTCTTGTTTTTTCAAAAGAGCTGGTTTTTTGGATTTTACACTTGAATTTAACTCATCTACATTTTTTGCTTCTTTTTTCAGAGGAACTTTTTTTTTTGATGATTTAGGTGAGTCTGACTCAAGCTCATTTTCTGCTTGGTTTTCCAAGAGAACTTGCTTTTTGGATACCTTAGTTGAGTCTGTCTTAGGTTCATTTTTAGCTTCTCTTGCCAGAAGAACCTGTTTTTTTGATGATTTACCTGAACCTGACTCAAGACCATTTTTGGCTTGTTTTTTCAACAATTTGGCTTGCTTCTTCAGCATTTTTTTTGATGTTTGACTTATGTCTAGCTCTTCAACTTGTTCTTGTTGCTGTTGTTTTGGTTGTTTTTTAGGTTGACTTGATTCTAACTCAAGCTCCCTTTCTGCTTTCCTTTTTAAAGAAAGCTGTTTTTTATACGCTTTACTTGTGTCTGACTCAAGTTTATTTTTGAATTCTACAAGATCTTCAGCTGCCTTTTGAGTATCATATCTGGTTGTTTCAAGGGCAGGTACTTCTTTGATACCAATTGGCATATCTCCTTTGGTCAGCTTGGAGAAGCTATAAATGATTTCAGATATAAATAAATATATGTAAAGTTTAATATTTGATTTGAAAAAAAAAATGAGAATTATAAACTCACTCAGCTATCAATTTAGTAACTACTTTTCTTGTCTGCGTGGTAGAATCCTTGTGAAATTTATACTTTTCTAAAATTTTGACGATTCCAGCAGGATTAAATAAGATTTGTGGAATTTCCACATTTACTCGTCCAGCTCTAGGATCTAAGGGTTTTTCAACATTAGTTGAACAATCTTCGTTTGTTTCATCAATTTGATTTTCATCATCTTGATTTTCATCATCAGAAACTTCAATTTTTTGCATATCATTAATATTTTTGCAAGGAAAACCAGCCTATAGAGAATATATTTTAGTCAATATACTTAATCATTGAAAATATCAAATGATCAAAATAAGTCATTTTACTTACATTCCTCCAAGCTTCAAATTTTTCGGTGTAGTCCATGCCAACATCAGATTGGAAAATCAAATAACGGAAAATATTTTTTACAATATTATTTACTATTCTGCGATCCTTTGAACAAGCTAAATGAATTGTATAGGGTCTAATAAATTCTTTTACAATATTTTTCGGGATTTTTTCCTCTCCAATCTAAAATAAAAAAAGTTCAAAGTAAAATAAAACATGAGAAATTTAAAAATTGAAAAAGAAATGTGACTGTTGTAAAATGAAGTAGGTGTAGACTTACTTTGGCTAATTCCTCCATAAAGATATCAGTTATGTGCAAATTTAATCCTAAACTGGTTTTTGGATCCATCAATAATTCTTGGAAAATTTTGGCAATCGCAACAACACAGGGTTTATCCCAAGAATACTTTTTACACAATACAAAAGTTTGCCTTACTATTCTTCTGACAAGCTAAAAAGAAATAAAAGTTATAAAAATTCACTATTAAATTAATAATATGGTTGATAAATGTTATTGGGTAGAATAGATAGATTGGACATACCATTTGAAACTTGTCGATCCTGTAGTTATCTATTCCAAACCACTCTTTAGCAAGAGTTTTGAAAGCGCATCTTGTATAAAGCAGCGCGGTGTCGAAAGACTCAAAACAGAATACAAGTTTGCTGATCGTTTCAGCAAGTTCTTCTTGTATTAACATTTTATCCGACATCCACATGCAGTAAAACAAGCCTTTCCATAATCTTAGAAAGTCTTCTTCTGAAAATACTATAACAAAAAAATTCATTTTACAGTGAGTTCTTCAAATTGTTAGGGCTCCCCAATCAATAATTTCACATTTAATATGAAAGATTTAAGTAACATACCACAAGAGCTTTGAGAGCGTAGAGTGAGCCATTTCTTGAGATTTTTTATCACTTTGTCCCTCACTTTCTTATCACTGTTCGCTAGTGAACGGACAAACTTTGCTTCGACCATAAATAAATTTTCGTTTTTAGGTGCTTGGGACACTTTGGGAGCTGGGTTTTTATTTTCCTTGATATGCGTGCCATTGCTCAAGGCCCTGGTTTTTTTCACTTTTTTCCCTTTGAAAGGACGCTTTTTCAGCTTCGTTGATTTTATTTGCACAACAGACATGATGAGAGAAGTTTCTGTATTTCTCGTAGCCAGAAAAAATCTCTTTTTCTTTTCTTTAGACGCCCCTGTGGTGCATGTGCTCTGAAATTCTCGTCAGCGCGCTGCACGTGGCTCTACTGGCCCGCGCGTACAGTAAGTCGCAGTGGTCATCAACTGCTGCTGCCATCTTGAATATTGGCGGCAAGTTTAAAATGATATTTTTCACCTCATAATTCTTGAAACTGATCAATTTTTAGAAAGATATATTTTATTTAGAAATTATTGTAGCTTTCTTAAATATTCAAAATCCTTATCTTAACATTTTTATGTGATCATTTTGTATCTGTAATTTTTACAGTGCGGCCATGGATGAAAAATCATGTCAATTTTGATATTTATATTTTCCATGTTATGTCTCACTTTTTTAATTATCACGAATAAACAGGAAAAAAATAACATGATTTTTCAAAGATCGCTGCACTGCAAGAATTTAAAATAAATAATTTTTATATAACTTTATGTAGATAATGTTGATGCGTTGTATTAGGTATGCTTTTATACATAAATATTGACTACTTTAGTTGTGCTGTAAGGGCATTTCTGTTTAAGTAAGCTTGAAGTCATATTTGAAGGTCATAAGAATGTCAATAACTTAATAGTTGAGAGAATTAATTTAGAATTTTGATACGTTGCATAACTACTCAATTCATATCTGGTGCCTGAACGGAAGTGATGCGCGATGCCGCTGTGGTGGCGCGATCTGTGTAATTCCAAAATTTTACGCACCAGCATGCAGCGGCACAGCTCTCTGCTTGTTCTGTTTCCTGCCGTCCGGTACTCAGTGAGTATCCACGTGCGAGTTCTCTTCTGAAGCTAAGGCCTAACCTCAGGCGACTGCACGTTTAATTATTAAAAAATGTCGACCAAAGCCGAACTCGCTTGCGTTTACGCTTCCCTCATCCTCACCGACGACGATGTCGCCGTCACTGTAAGTACCGAAACATATTTTATTTTGCAAAAATTAATTTTTATTCGGCCATTGCGCGAACTGCAAATTTCACCCATAATTTAATTTCCAGGGTGAGAAGATCCAAACCATCCTCAAGGCTGCCGGCGTAGACATTGAGCCCTACTGGCCCGGTCTTTTCGCCAAGGCTGTAGAAGGTCTTAATGTCAAGGACCTGATCACCAACATTGGATCAGGAGTTGGAGCTGCCCCAGCTGGTGGTGCTGGTAAGTTTCTGTTCATATTCTTACTTTGACTTTGTTCCTCTGTTCATCCACCGACCTAGATTTCACCTTGCTAGAACGGTCAGCTTTTGAGGAAAAATTAACGATTGAAATGCCTGCAAGAATGCACTAGGTTCATTCGAGGCCTTTTATTCTACATTGTTTTAACTTTTTGGTTAAAATATTTGAATCTTGATAAAAATTGTAAAAATGTCAATAAGTTATCCAAAAATAGATAATTTGCTAAAGTTTTCAAAATGATACTCTTATAATATATTGAAATTCACCTCTTACAATAAAAAAATCCTTCATTTATAGCCCCAGCAGCCGCTGCCGCCGCTGATGCTCCAGCAGCCAAAGAGGAGAAGAAGAAGGAAGAACCTGAAGAAGAATCCGATGACGACATGGGATTCGGTAAGATTTTCAAAACTATTACATTTATTTGGTTTATTATCAATTTTAATAAGCATAAAATGATTATTCAAGCGTGTTAGACTACTGAATATGTCGTGTAGCCAAATTTCTTAAATGACTTTCTGCGTATGAATGTAATTTTTTTCAAACTTAATAGGATTGCATACTAAATAATCATTTGTATTTGTGTTTCAGGTCTGTTTGACTAAACCATGGATCACGGAAATACTGTTTGCACAGTATCTGATGATACAGGCTTTGGTAAGATATTTAAAACCAATGCATTTATTTGGTTTATTATTATTAATTTTAATGAGCATACAATGATTATTTATGCATGTATTAGCTACCGAAAAATGTTTTTGTGTAGACAAATTTTTAAATGAGTTGCTCCTTATAAATTAAATTTCATTCAATCTCAATGAGTAAAACTGTACTAAATGATCATTTTTATTTGTGTTACAGGTCTATTTGACTGAACCATGCATCATGGGAATACTGGAAAAACACAAAATAGGAAATAAATAATTTCTTAAAAAATATACGTCTTATTTGTTTACAATTACCCTGATACCCTTATTAAAAAACTAAAATATTTAATTTGACAAAATTTGATTCAAGTTCGAATTTCACAATAATACATAAACCATTAGTCGATTTCAGTTGATTATTTTCTTTTGTCAAAACAGTTTCTCGAGTAGCGAAATATTTTAAAGTTTTTATCAACTTATCAGATTTATTTTGAAGCAATTTCATTATATCTGTCCAATAGATACTTTTTTATAGAAAAAATCTATTCAATTTCTTTCAAATTATGAGCCTAATTATTGAGTGAATTATCTTTTGGAATTGTTTCAATGATTTGACTACGATTTTACCGAGGATCAAATAATTTTCAGTGATGATTTTAAAGTGTATTTGTTACAAAGGTATGCTCGAGCCATAAAATCGAGCGGATTAACTGGTTCTTTGGTCTTGAGCTTGCGCGAAACTCAGGTCAACGGTCAAAAAATCAAAGCGGTCCGACAAAATAAAATACAAATCTGATTCACGAAACGATTCATAACTTTTGATTAAGATATTTAATTGGAAAAATAAAATAATAATAGTACTTGATACAAATAATAATGCTATCAAACCGTCAAGTTTGAAAAGTCTTAGCCGATTCAAGCACGGCAGGCCACTTCGAAATATCGCGGATAGCTCGATTTTTCCGAGTCTCGAACACCCCTTACTTACACGTCATGAATCAATTTAAATGTTTTGTCTCGTACTTTTAATTAATTATTCATGATACTGATTTACAATACAGATGATTTTTGGAGCATGTGTCATGATTGCAACGATCGTTTCATACTCAACTTTTCAAATAGGTTTTAGAGGGTTTATCTTACAAATTTTTTCGTAATTTTAAATTCGGTTATTTGATATTCATTTTCAAGTCGAAAAGAAATTTGAATATTTAATTGAATAAGATATCGAAAAAGAGTTGGCCTCTAATTGAATTATAATTATCTGTATCGAACCGATCGATACAGATACGAGAGCTGGTCACATTTGTATTCGCTACCTATCCTATCCTATAATTTAAATGACAAAAAAAACAAGGATTTTTATCGAAATTGCCACGTTCGTATATAGATTATTGATATCGCCTACACATCATCAAGAGTTAAAAATTAATTAACTTTGATGACAGCTAGCGATGGATAGATAAAGCTATATGCAGGCAGCCAGGCAGCGATCGCTAACGAGCCCTTTTTTCCTCTCCCCCTTCCATTTTTTCGTAGCCAAGTATAAAGTATAAACCCTGGCTGGCGATCGGTCGATGCTGTAAATCATTAGAAAAGAAGGCAGCGACGCGTTCGCAGTGCATATACAAGCCGTTGTCTATCGGGCACACTGATTGAGCCGCAGAGACATCCCGCGAGTCTTGTCTGATAAGACTGCTACATACACTGGTTGCGGAGATGTCGATCGCTGCTGGCGTACGCGACGACGACGACGTATTTTTTATTATTTGCGCCGCCGACTTCAGACTTGACACGTCGTCGTGCTTTCTGTTTATATAGTGTTTTGCGCCTCGGTTGCGAAATCTCGCGCTCGGCGCCTACGCACCAATCGAGACGTCGACTCGGCTAAAAATTCGGAGTCGTGATTCGCGGGGCCTTTCACAGTAGTGCGAATTGTGCGTGTGCGACTTGCAGCTTGCTTCGCGTATTTCGTTTAAAGTGCTACAGTGCTGCCTTGTAATATAAACGTTTGGTTTTCGCAGTCCGTGCAAAAGTACACATCATCTGTGGAAAAGAGCGCACGACACGACACAAACGGCTGTCAATATCCATAACGCTTGACCCGATGACAGCGAGCTCCCAGGCCAAATCACCATCTGCGTGCAGCGTCTCCCGAAGAAATTGGCAGCAGCACGATGAAATTAGCCAGTGACGCGGATAGTCCTGGTCGACGGCTTCGCGCAACCAGCAGCAGCATGCGAGCTGCCCAGAGGACAAAGTCGCCCGGGACCTTGGCACTCTTCGCCGTTGGCCTGCTGTTGTTTGTCGACTGCTGCTTCCAGACCAGCGAGGCCAAGGTGTCCGATCAGCGACGATGCTACGACCCAGACTGCTCCGGTATGGCCTTTTGCACCCCTCGCACATACACCTATATAATCGCTTTTCCGTGCGGTCTACACACGACCAAGTGTAGCGTAGGCTGAGCTTGCTGCAGCCTTACTTGCGATGCTCCGAAGCCATTCATGTGCTTACTTGGTGTCCGATTACTTTGTTTAATGCACCAGGGACACGCTGCTGTTGCTTACCTATGCTACGCTATTCTATTACTAATATTTTTCTTTCTTACGCATGCATATCTTAATCTGCAAATATTTTTATATTGTCATTGGATTATCTTTTTCATTGCTAAAGTCATGGTTTTTTCACTCCACAGTCGCTGTTTCATATGGTAAAACAACTATTCCTTATCCCTCAAAAGACCCTGATGTATTGAGTTTTCCTGCCAATGTGGAGGTCAAAGTTTTCAGTAAAGAAGCAGGCTCTAGACTTGATCTTTGGGGTGTTGAGGTGAGTGATTATGAAATCTAAGAATATTTCAAGAGCACTTACACTGTCCAGTGACGCTGATAAACAAATGCTTCTTTTATTCTCTATTTTAAATATTTATTTATTTTTATTAGATAAATGGTAAGAGAGGCTATGCTCCATCAAAGTTTATCCGCGAAACCAAAATCGTACATCCCAATTTGGATAAATTAGTGCCAATTGAAGAAAGTTATAATGTACAGTCCAAGGATAACACGAAACAAGCTGAGGAACAGATTGAGGATAATAATAACATTTTTAATACTCTTCAAGAGAGTCTCAACGAAGCAGAAATACCAAAGGATGAATTAAATGAAAATATTCAAATCAGTCAGGAAAATGACATTTCTAGTGATGAACAACTCATTGAAGAAAAAAATAATCAAGCTCATGATTCTCAAGAGGTCAAGGAATCAACTAGTGATGAGAATGTGAAAATGGAAATATATCCTGATATCATCAAATCTACATTTTCTGCTTTTTCTGGATTATCTGGAATATTGAATGGTGATGATGATGAATCAGAAGAAGATGAAACAAAAGAAGAATTCAAAGTAGAAAATGATACACAAAGTAAAGAGCCTGATCAAATCACATTGAACAATAATCCTGATCTTAGTGTTGATACTACTACTGAATCAGAGAATGTATTAGATAAAAATTTTGATGAACCAGTGTCTCCAGATAGCTTAACATCTGAAACACCAATTGAAACTATTGAAGAGGCTGATTTAAAAAACACTTTTGAAAAAGTTGCAGAACTTATTAAACCAAAGGAAAGTGCTGAAGAGAACCCAACATATATTTCTGAAGAAGTATCTGAACAGAAAAACGTTGATGATGCAAATGATGAGTTTAATAGTTCAGAAATTATTGAAGAAGACAAGAATTTAAATTTTTCTATTGATAGTATAAAAGTTGAAAGCAGTGAACATGAATTTCTTCCAAAATCTAATATTAATTTAAGCGTAGATCATAATGACCATGTTGAAGAAATTCCAGAAGTTCCAGTTGTTAATTCTGAAAACATTGAAGTTTTACCTTTGTACGATGAAAAAAGTTCTGATTTAAGTGTTTCAAATAATAGTAATAATATAATATCTGAGCCTCAAAGTAATGATATCAAGTCTGATGAATCAATAAATGCTAGCATAAATTCTGAAAAAGTTGAAGATTTAGCAGAAATAACAGTAACAGATGAACAAAAAGTAAACACATTACAGCAAAAACCAGTAATTCTTGTTGATACTTTACCTGAATCTTTTAGTACTGATGATTCCGTTATTTTACAAGTGCCTTTAGAGAAGGAAATTAAAGATGAAGCAGTTATACAGTCTAATCAAGATTTTTTATCATTAAGTAACAATCATGAAAGTCTTCCTGAATATGAAAACTTTCCCACTGAAAACAATGTTGAGACTGTTGAAAATTTAACTGTTTCAAATGTACTAACACTGGAATCAAATGTTAATAATGATACAAGTTCATTAAATATCTTAAATGAAAACGATTCTTTAATAGATAGTTCAGAGGTTAACTATCAGCCTATAGAATCTAATATTGAGAATAATATTCCCCAAAAGTTTAATGTCCTTCATGGCAATAGAAATCTGTTGAATGCTGAGAGTATTGGTAAGTTTTAAAATACTACAGTTTTATTGATTTAATAAGAATTTTTCACAATTTTAATTTAATTTCAGGGTCAGAAGAATTAGTAATCGACAACGTCGCGTCTAATAGTCTTCAAACTCCACCTGCTTCAGTTTTAATTACTGAAGAAGATGAAAAAGTTCATTCTATATTTAGTGGAATAAAAGAAACAGGTATAATGTCAGTAATCATACTTGGGTTTTTAAAAAACACAATCATTACTAGTTTTTATTTTTCAGCTATGACTCCTGAAACCTGCGATCAGATTGATTCTAAATTTGTGCTTGAGGTTGGTTTTTATAAATAATAAAATATATTATATTTTTATTGTATTTAATACTAACATTAATAATATCTGTTCAAAAATAAAAATGTATTATTTATTTCAGGAATCTTCACATCAATTCTTTTATATTTGTATAACAGCTGTTACAACCTTATTGTTTTCTCTTGGTTACTATTTAATTGAAGTAAGCATTACTAAAATCTATCAAAGAATAAATGCTCAAATGATTGCTCATTTTAATTTTAATATTTGCAGAACAAACGACGAGATGCACATCTTATATCAAAAATTAATAAACTCGAAAAGGATTTGATGGTAACAAAAAAAGAATGCATCATTCTTGATGAAAATTTCAAGTCCACAAAAACAAAGGTAAAATATAATTACATCTCAGTTATTTTTATTTTAGTAATATGTAAATTATATCATAAACTTTTATCATTTGTTTTAGTTGGACTCCATTGAGAATGAGTCATTTGGTTCAAATGAGATGGTGTTATCATTAAAAGCAGATTTGGCTACTTCTGAGGTATAATAAATAATCCATGTGGCTTATACAAGTGTTAAAAAAAGATTACATTTTGATAAGTGAAATTTAATAATATATCAATTTTTATAGAATGTTCGAGGTGAATTGGAAGAACAAATTGCGAGTCTAGAGAGAGAATTAGAAACTGCAACTGATACTGGATTAGAATTAGAGCGTATGTTGCGTGAAATGCTATCTTCACAAAAAGATGAAAATAATCCATTAGCCAAGAAGATAGAAGATTTACAAGTTAAATTAAATGAACAACAGTCTGCCAATGAATATTTAACTAATGCTTTAGCAACCAAAACTCAAGAGGTAGCATCACAAGAATCATTTTTTTAATTTCACAATCTATAAAATTTTTACGAATTTGAATTGTATTTTTGTTTAGAATGAGAGTTTAACTGCAGATCTCACTGAAAATTTGAAAAAAGTTGAAGAATTACAGACTGAATTAACTTCAGTGGCTGAGGAACTTAAAATTCAAAGAAGTACAAACGAAGATATGAAGCAAACGCTCTCATCTAAAATTCAAAATCTAGAAATTCAAGTTAATACTGTAAGTGGTAAAATAATTTATATAAACCTAAAAATTTATTGAATAATTGATGTAAAATTATTGCAGTTGAGTGATGAAAAATCAATCATAAGAAAGCAATTGAGGGCTAAAGAATTAGAAGTTGCAGAGTTGTTGAAGGTAGTTGAACAACTTAATTCAAGTAATATAGATTTAGAAAAGATTTACGACGTGTCACAAGTCAAAGTAGAACTTAGTCATTTGCATGAAGAGAGAGATGAACTAAAGGCTAAATTGATTGAAGAAGAGGGTGCTCGTCAATTATTAGAAGGTTGGTTTTTTTAAATATTTTTTTTATGTGATAAATGTTAAGGCTCGCTCATTTAGGGTACAGAAGTATGCATTTCAAAATTTTTTTAATTATCCATAGAACACATGAAAGTTATATCAGAAGAAGTTATATCTTTGAAAGACCAATATAAAATAGCAGAAAAAGAAAAGTCTGATGCAGAAACTCGCCTAGAAGTGCTGACGAAATTTTTCGAAGACAAGGAAAATCAAAGGCAAAAGTAATATTACATTTCATAAAATAGAAACTCGATTTTTGAGTCTATACTGGTAGTTTTAAAATTAATACTTTTAAAATCAATAATTTTAAGGGAAGAGGCTTTGTGGATGGAAAAACAAGGAGAGCATAAATCTACTGTGGAAAGAATACACTCAATGGAAAAAGATTTGCACACTTATAGAAAGCAAATAGAAATGTTGAAGGTAGAAATACTTGATCAAGAAAGAGAATACAAGTCTCAAATATCAGTCGCTGAGCAGAAAGCTCACGAAAATTGGGTATGATCTATTTTAAATGTTAATTAAACTGCGTACACGGAAACAAAATTCACACTAAAATTCCCACTTTTTTTTAGCTCCTGGCTAGACAATACGAGCGCCGTTTAGAGGACAGCAAGGCGGAATCGAGTCAATTACGAAATCGTCTCACACACGTTGAAAAGAATATGAACGATAGCGATGCTGATATGAAGCTACATCGTAAGTACTGTTGTCTTAAGCATCGATCTCATCAAATTTAATCATGAACATTTCTTTTTGAATACATATAAACACAGATAAAAAACAAGTAACGCCAAAAAACTTTACACGAACTTTCGTATCTTATTGTTGAACTCGTAAGCTATTGATTTAGTCAAAATTATTCAAAGTATAAGTAGAAATACTGAATAACTGTAGTAGTTAAATAACGAATATCTAAGTTTACGCGTAAATTACCAGATAATTATTTTACTGGTGATCTCAAATATTCCTAATTTACATTTAAAGTTCCTTCTCTATTTATCGTTGCATTGAAATGTAAAATTCAAAACTCCAGAGTAGATAAATGTTGCCATTGTAAAAGCTAATGCCCCTTGCTTGTGTTATGCTTGATTCTCGACCTAAAGGTCTTCAACAAAACGGCGAGAACAGCAGTGGGAATTTAGTAGATCCGGTATCGCCACTGATGTTCGCCGGAGGCGTTGGGATGCCACCGCCACCACTGCCTCCGTTTGGACCACCTGGATTCGCACCTCCGCCACCTTTTATGCCGCCACCGGACATGGCTGCTCCCAATTCGAGACCGCCGCCTCTGGGTGGCGGACGCCTGTCGTCGCCACCACCTCACAACAGCAGCGGGGCGAATGCGAGATCACCACCGCCACCGATGTCTCCACCACCTATTTATCATGGACTTCCACCTCCACCCCATCATCCTCATCACATGCCACCTATGACTTCACGTTTTCATCCACCTCCGATGATGTTCGACGTTCCTCCTCCTCCACCTCCAACGCTAGGTCATTATCCTCCTCCGGCTCATCATTCCTGGGAAGATGATAGAAGATCAGGTGGTGGTGCCGGTGCCAGTGGCTTTCAGAGGACGCGCAATTACAAAGGTTCGTAACTATACTTTTAGGGGTGTCCAAAGTCACGGTGCGAATATATGTATATTTACTACGGATTTTCTGAGATTTCTCTTGACTATGCCTTTTTTTTTGTTAGCTTTGAAGCCTAGATCGAGCTTTTTTAGTGAGCTTTTAATAGTGATTTCGAAATACGTAGTCTGATGCTTTTTTACTATAGAAACTACAACTATTCAATTTACTCTTTTGTAATTTGTAAAAGTTTTAATATAGCCACCAAAACTACGCAACTATGACCAATTTTTTTGAAACAATTGAAATAACAGTATTGTTAGACTCAGACAATTTTTCACCGATCATTTCATGAGTCAAAGCTCCATTTTCTTTTTTATGATTTTCTTTTCTAAAAATTTATTTCTCAAAAGGACGCAGACGTTTTTCTAAAGTCAGACAATTTTGGAGCACCATGGAAGGAAATGCAAATAAGTGATCTTATTATTGTCAGGTTGACAACGTTTTGGTTTTTGATACTTTTTGTAGTCTCATTTTGAAAAATTTCTTTGACACTTAGTGACACCGATGTATTATCAGTTGTTTATGATTTTCGTTTTATTTAAATCAATTTTTATCTCTTGAATAGCTTATACATCGGGTAGCATTATTTTATTGAATTTATTCGCTGCAACTTTGATTTAATGAGAAATTTTTTCATCCGTAGGTTCCTTGCATTCATCAGGAGAATCGCTCGACAAATCTCATCAAGGAAAGGTGTAGAAAAACAATAGAAAATGAATTTTTTCCCTTTTGGGAAACATTTTCCTGCAATTAAATTACTGATTTTTTACACTAAGAAGATATTTTTGAATATATTAACGAACCTTTTTTAGTGCAATGCTAGTCATTGCTCTTTACGAGGAATTTGGTACTTTGATTAGTACCGTGTCTGATTGACAACCGATAATACTGCAAAATTAATTACGTATTTGATATGAATGAAATAATAACTGGTGATATAATATTTATATATCGTTCAGTACCGTTGTTATGGTTTTTTATTTTATTTTTAATTACTTGCATAGTGTATTTGTGATGATAATCAAATGTTGAGTCACGAGCGTAAAACCGCTTGTATAAATACTTAAAAGAATAAGCTTTCAGATTCGCGTTGGTGTTGAGTTGAACATTATATGAAAAAAAATGAATGTATTTCAGTATGTGTGAATGTATATATAGTGATGATATTGTCTTTGTGAATATACATGTGTATCAGTCATAATTGTATTTATATTAAAAAATTTTTTGGAGGAAATGCAATTGTAAAGTATAAATCTAAAAACCTAAAAGATTTAAATAAAATTGTAATTTATTATTAACATGTTTTTTCTTTTTCTCGCATAACAACATACTGGAAATTACACGTTTAATATATTTTTGTTTTTTTTACAATATTTATATTATACAAATAAGTATTTCTTATTAAAAAGTCTAAGGAATGCCATTAGCATAACTTTATTTTTCGTGTTACTCCAGCTTAAAGATTTGCGTTTTTAAAGTAAATATATTGTCCTTCAATGTTCGAGAAATCACGAAAAATCGTATTTACATCTCGTAAAGTTAAAAAAAACACTTCGAAGTTTACAAGTTTGTTACCTTCGAATTCGAGATGGTTGACATTTTACGCACGATTTGAAACATTCTTTATAATATTTTCATAGTTACATAATATTTTATAATTAAAACTAGCTCGATTGCCCCGAAGATGATAATGTGCAAAAATTTATTTATGTTTCGATGTAATTCTGTATGCTTATAAAAACTTTATGTAGGCAAAAAAGCATTTACCATTTAGTTTGCACACACCCAAACGTTTTCTTATTTTTACGCTAAGAAAACGACAAAAAAGACCAAAAAAAATATTAGAAATGCAAATATTTTTATCATTAGCCCTCGATTTCTACTAACAGATCGAAAATATTTCAAAATTTCTGTGTGTCCGGCTGCCACATTCAATTCTGTAACTTCAACATTAGAGTCAATTCTGTAAAAAAGAGTAAAATTTGTTGAATGGTTCAATTGTATCAAAGATCTGATATTTTAACTAAAAAAACTCTAACCTCTCGACCATTTCCTCTTGTTCTTTTATCATATGTGCCAATTGCTGGAAAATTCCACCTAGCTCCACAATAGTAGATTCTATGTTTTGCATTGTTTCAGCACGAGCTTGAATGTAAGAGTCCTAGAGACATTTTATTGTAATATACATTGAAATCATTTCATTAATTCAATAACAAGAAATATATTTCATACTAACAGTGTCATCATAAACTGCTCTTTGTAAACTTAATTGACCCATTGCAGGTTCAAGGTCTATACTAACGGAAGCACCAGAATCTTGTTCCTGTAGTAGTAAAGAACCTTGTTGCCCTGCTACTGCACTAGGAGGCATCATAGTTGATATATGTCCATGTGAAAATTGTTCTCTTCTACTTTGCTCTTCTCGCATTTTCTAAAAATTATTAAGCAATGAGTATCTTGGTAAAAAATAAGTATTCCAGTATCTTATATTATGAAAATTACTTCGGAACGGATCTCTAAGAGATTTTTGAAATTGTTTGACATATTGGCAAGTTTAGACTGTAAAACCACAACCACTGATGAAGAATGTGATGCTATATGATGACCTTTTGCAGATTCAAAGTTTTCTCTTTGCTTCCTATTGAAGTCCTGCAATTTAGCAATTTGTTGATTCAAACTACTAAGATCTGTCTTGATGATTGTAGTCAATTCCTCTATCTCCATTTGTCTATCATCAAAAATTGATTTCTTCTTGGCCACTAAAATTCAAAGCAGATCCTGTTATGCGAGGTAAACAAAAAGTTCAAAGTGTTTGTTGCATGTTTAAGAATGTCAGTGCCATCGATAATGTTATTTCTTGTACTGACAGAGAAATTGGCAAATAAAGCATAGCGCATGTATGTGGCAAATGTTGGTAAACTTACAAAGCGTGAGTTTTTCAAGTTTGGCACAAGTACTGACGACATTTTTGCCAATGCCCTTGGCGAACTGCATAAAATTATTGTAATCCTGCAGATACTTGGCCTGCCTGGGCACCGCGCTGGACTGCCTGATGGAGGCAGCCACGGCCTGGGCCGTGCTGCTCTGCAGGCTGCGCACCGCATGGCCGAACTCGTGGGTGCGATCGCGCGACGTCATCCTCGTGGGCTGGAGAGCTTCGTCCTGGGCACCGGCGCCGTTCGCTAGTCCAGGATTCGAGCGGCTGGCTGTCAGTGGGACTGGGGCATTGTCGTGGGCACCGAGGAAGTATCCAGTCTGTTGCAGATTGTTGCTGCTGTTGCTGTTATTGAATTGTTGGTTGGAGCTGCTGTTGGAGTATTCGTGACTGCCTATGCGGCGACGTCTTGCTGACATTGCTGTTGGCTCGGCAACATCCTCGTTCCAGCTGGTCTGCCTGTCTCAGTCCGAGTCGTGATTGTTGATGTCGCAGGTGGTGACACTCGAAATTCTTTGGCGATTTTGGGACACGTCTCCACATGACAGACACGCCAGCCTGCGAGCAGTAAGCAATCGCGACTCGATAGTACAAAACTGGCAGCTGCTGTCCGCGGAGTGGGAGGCAAAGAGAAACAGACGCTCTCAACATATAGACTGCTGCCTATAATGCGCGACTTCTATATACCGTTGTCGTGAGTCAGTGCAGAATTTCCCGCCTGCACAATGGCAAAGCGACATTCTATAGGGGCTATGAGGTGGCTCTTGCATAGTCAACGCATATCAATCGTCGTAAATACTTTCTAACCTCTCTTCGCTTATGTTATATGCACTTGTAAAAGTCATAACAGAGTATATGACGTTTTTAGGCTCGCGAATCCATTAGCACTTAGCATGTGCAGCGTGTTTACGAGTAGAGAGCAGCTGGCAACTGTTGCAACTCTGCGGGTTAAAAATTTAGAGTGGAGTACAGCACGTTGTAATGCATTTTTCAACGTTTGAATATTCCAACAGTTGCAATTGGTACGACGTTTAACTAATTTATGCACGCAAAGTCGTGAAAATCATTGATGTTTGTGCATTGCAATAGCGTGCCAATGACTAATTTACACTTGCTTTTTACGCCTTTTCATTTACGCTTCGTCGCTAGAACCCGCATATTGAAAAAATGTCGATCATACCGCATTGAACAGGGGTGTTAGCTTCAATTCGTTTATTCATGTAGTTTCTTGTAAGTTAAAAGCCCCAAACGTCTCCAATCGATAACGAATCAACAATTTTTTACTCGATCGAATGCAAAGGTTTTTATTTATTAAAATGTCGTAACAATCGGGTGCTTATAAATTTTGCTAGATTTGGTTGCATTTTTTTCTGCAGTCCCTTTACTTGCAGTTCTATATTGTGATGCTTTAATTTTGTGAAATTGTGTTGACATAAGTTTTGGTTGAAACGTTTTCCCGAATACGTTTAGTTTCGAAAAATATTAATCATCAGTAAAAGCTATTCCGGACTTTTTTAAATCATATATACGAACACGATAAGTCATAGGAGACTTTTTTTTATCATCGCACATCGAGTCACGCTTACTCGCGTACGCATTGGTAGATGTCGCCTAGATGCTCGTATTTCAAGTTGACGGAGATCGAGAGTCGAATAACTTTGGGAGTAAATTTTGCAGGGTACACAGATCCAAAAGCGCTTTAGCGTCATATTCCGCAAATGCCATGTAAATTAAAAACTCGATAATTATTTTTCTTAAAAATATTTTATTTAATTCAAAAATAAAATAGCGATCACATTCGCAGCTGGTTTCGATCAATTTAGACTCTCATCCGAAAAATTAGTCGCAATTTTGCATAAGACTTGTTTTGCAACTTTCAAGCGTGTCGCGTAGAGTATAAATTATATAGGGTAATGGAAGAGACGAAAAAAAAAGGTAGGTATAAAACTAAAAACTCGCATGGCGTTGTCGGCTACTTATCACAAATGACAAATCCAAGCTTATTACAATAATCGGGTAAAGTATAACGTAACAACGATTACAGCTTAACAATCGTAAAATTATGACAGCACGTGCTTTGCATATACGCGCATACAGTTATGATAATTTTTAAAAGTTTCAAAAAACATCGTCGAGTACGAATAAAAACAATCGTATTGGAGGGGAGGAGGAGAAGAGATGACGGGAGTCGTTTTTTTTTTGCTTTCTTTCAATCTTTCGTTTACAAAGCCACAGTTTCAAATTGATTCTTGGGTATCTCGTTGTCGAACTCGTCGATGGCCTCGGCGCTCCTGTGCGACTGAGTGGTCAATTCCTCGCGGTCTCTGACGTCGAATTGCTGCGTGGCCGCCGTTGTCGACTCTCTGTCCTTCTTGCTCTGCTGCTGCTGCTCGTCGAGATCGTCCTCGCTATCCTCGTTTTTCTCCTTCTCGTTATTGTCCTCGTCGAAGCTCGACGGGGCGACGACCGGCCGCTGCTCTTCTGCCTCGTCGCTATCGGCTGGTGCTGCAGGTACTGCTGCGGACTCCAAGGGCTTGACGTCTACGACGCGAATGCGATACACCATGCCGGAGTTCTCGTCGCCGTCGGTGTAGGTCGTCTCGTTGATGGTCACCGTGTGATTGCCGACTATCTGCTCAATTAAAATCCATCAAGTTTCGCTCTATAGTGCGAGTGAAGAAAAATTGAGATTACGTACCTTGGTCGTGGAGGTGGTGTTGGCGCCCTCCGGTAGACGGCCCCATCCGGGAAGAGGACCGAGCGACGATCCCACTCCCGACGACGACTCGTGAGGCAGTTGAGGCAGGTGACTCGACTCCAGCTGGGCAGCCAATGTCGCGGCCATCTCGGCTCGTATCTTGTTCATGGTCGCTGCAATCATATCATTCGTCCGTTATCGATTTCATCCAATTAAATACTGATTAGATTTATATATGAGCGTTGAAATATTCGAATGTAGCGAGAGATACACGGCGTAAAGAGACAATGGGCACTTTGCATATTACGACGTGTCTCTCGCAAGCGCGAGAAAAGAAAAAGTACGGAGGGGTTGGAGACAACACGAGATGTGCGCGTCGGCGTCTCTGCTCTCGACGACGCATTCGGCGTAATTAAAAAAAAAACAACAGTTTCACGCGTGGCCGCGCAGCCAAGCGCTAGCCAAGTTTACAATTACACGATTTGGCTCGTGAGACTCTATACTACTTTTAGCCGATGCAGCCTCTAGACGGAAAGGGGTGTATCGGCGTGCAATCGAGCGTATGCTGCAGCTGGCATGGCGTAACGAGCTCTATACGTAACTGCTCAGGACGTGGACACGCACACCGCGGGGGGTTCCCCTCTCCCATTCACACGATGCCCTTTAAATATACATGAGTGTTTCTGACTAACTTTTAAAATTGCACGTACTGATGTGTAAGTCAGGTAATTTACCATGCACAGTTCTGAAATTTTATCAGGGTCTTTAAGAAGACTTGAGAGATCTACACTTTTATTTTTGAGCGTTTTGGTGGCCCGTCCTTTTTGTATCGCACGTTTGAAAATCGATTTTACTCTTGAGTCAAAAAACGTACTGCGAATAAAATAAATTTTCGATAGCTTCTTAAAAAATGGACTATTAACCAAATGATCTGAAATTATCATGTTACCTTCCTTTATTCACATACTTTAGAAAAATTTGTGACCTGAACTTGATCCTCCTAAATTGGAAATTTCCCAGAATGTTTTCCGCGCGTACTGGATTATTTGAACTTTTAGCTTTTTTTATACATTTTCATTTTTTACAATGGACTATTGTTTTTTTTTATATCTGTATACATGTTTAAAAAGGGCTGGAAAAGACGAACAAAATGAGCCCAACCAGAACTCTGTCCCTTATTTAATAAGAATTGTACGCTGGATTGAACATTCGATAATCCTGCGTTAATCACTTAAAAATTTTTGAAAAAAATTTTTTTTTCATGAAATTTTTTTCTACTATGAATAAATTAATTAATTTATAAAAAAAATTTTTTTCATGGGAAATTTATAAACAATTTTTATAAAAAATTTTTTTTTTCATGAAAAATTTTTATAAATATATTTTTTTTCATGAAAAATTTTTTTCTTATCATGAATAAATAAATTATTCAACAAATAATTTTTTTTCACACACTTTCTTTTTTTATTTAAAAAATTTTGCTATATCATCAAGGGCAAGGCCGTAAAAAAAAAATTTTACATTTAATTCATTTATAATGACTACGCAATTCGCCTACGTAGATAATTATGTGCGGGATGATATAAGTAATGTCACATGAAAACACATGAAAGAAAAAGGGGTTTTTTCGCTTCAAAAAGTGCATAAGGAAACTTGAAAAAATCCAAAGAAATTTAAGGTCATGTTTTTCAATGCATAAAACAGAGAAAAAAATTTTCGAGTTTGATATTGGCTCGTATCGCCGTATATAAATTTTCCAAATTTTTAATTATTTTATCTGAAGGCCTGAAGCCCTCGAAAAATCTGAAGAAATTCAAGGTGCTTAGTTTTGTTGATATGTACTATTATGAATTTTTTCAGATTTTTTAATTACTTCAGGGCTTCAGAATGAATATAAATAAAGAATGGACGTTTATAGGGGTGGAGGGGGTAGGAGGGGGGGATGGGGAGTAAAATTTTGGCTTTAGGATTTTTTTACCATGTACTATAACATATCAAAAGCGCATCTAGATCGGTGTCATTCGAAAATTTGAAGAAGTTTTATTTTGACCCACATTTAAATCGGGTTTCCCAAATGGACTATGGAGGAAAATAAAGCCCAAAGTTATTTTTGGGATTCTTTGTTGATAATATTCAAGAAAAATTCATTCCGGATACTGTGCCGCTAAATTTTTCATCAAAAATTTTTTTAGGCGTTATTTTAAAAGTTAGTCAGAATCACTCACATATGACATGCTATAGGGAGGTAATGGCACGCGTCGTCGCAGATCCGCGCGTAGCTGTATTTGGCAGCCGCGGGCTCGTCGCAGCATCCCAGCTATATGCGGATTAGCGATGGTAGTTGGTCCAGTGCAGATACACGTCGCTGACGATGAAGGGTGCGTCCGAGCACTCGATTATTATCGAGTCCCCCCCGCGTAACTGCATGTATAACTATATGTGTACGACGCACAGCACGAGATTGTCGTCCCAAGATGCGCAGTTTTGCCCTTTAATTATTAAATCACGAGCAGCCGATGCGTATATGAACAGACGAATGATATTACGGAGATGCAATATTTACATGTGCACTTGTATAGCGACGCGTACGTGTCACTCGATCCCCGCTGAAATATATCGATTTTTGAGTCTGCTACCATGTGTATACTCGTGCACATACCGTGACGTTTTCGACGACTATCGCAGATTAGCGCGAGAAAAAGCTCTGCGGCCGATAAGGGCCTAGACTATATACGTATCAGCTACTACTAGCTTTCGCGCTTTATACGTAGAGCCGGGGCTCCCTCCCGTACACGTCCTGACGGCTGAAATAGAGGCGCTCCGTCTACTAGCTAGCTAGCTAGCTAGGTATATAGTACAAATAACGCAGTGACGGCAAAGGCGGCCCTTGCCTCTCTCTCTCTCTCTCTCTGCGCCCAACGCTGCAACGGGAATTTAGTTTCCGGCAGCTCGACATGACAGTTTAGCCCGATAAACGCGCGTATATATACACACACAAACGGCTATACGAATTCAAAACGAGATACTGTATACGTAACGGCCGCCCAGCTAGCTAGCTACACCTATGTATATTGGCCTTATGTGTGTGTATACGCGTACCGAGATCGCTCTACATTATATACGGGGCTGGAGTCGAGCTTTTTCAAAATGTTATCCCTTAGCTGTACGACTAGTATATAGCTCGTCGCGGCTCTCGCGCGCGACCCATCGCTGTTGTTCTTTTTTTCTCGTTTTTTTTTTTTAATTTCTGCCTTGCTTTCGAAAAGACCCCAAAATTTTTTTCCTCGTCGCGTATCAAGTGCACGCGCGCACGGCTTCGTGCTCTCCCTCTCTCTATTTCGTATATATATTCCGAAATATATTCCGAAACCGAGTACGCGTGTGCGTGTACATACTTGAACGGCTCGACCGTGTACATAACATGTTGTAATTGGATTGATTCCCATCGTGCTCGAACTTTTATTTAAAATCTGCCCACGAGCTTGCGACTGTAATAAATATACCATACATAAACTGTAAAATATTTTTAAATTCGCAAAAACTTGCGCTCGGAGCTTTTACGCGCGCAGCAGCTTTTTTTAAAGAGATGGATCTTTGTGCGCGCGACAAAAAATAAAAAATTTTCCCTGAATAACGACCCGCCATTTCCCCGCGTCAGTCACGCCAGGAGCTTTTGCAAGCTCATACACCTATATTCGCTCTTATACCTTAGCTACTATACGTACTCTGCTTATACGCAAGCGGCTATGGAGCACACGCAAAAGAGAGAGAGAGGGAGACTCAACTGCAATTCTATTAAATTTAGTAGTTTGCAAACTTAGACAATGGCCTTTATTTCACTATTCTCATTTCTCATTCGTATAAATGGCTATGCGCGCGCCTTTAACTTATATCATTATCCCTCTCTCGCCTATGGTTATGATTATTCTTTTTTTTTTCCTCTTCCTCTTCTTCTGCATACATAGCTCTATAAATTCAATGCGAAGGGTTTTTCTAGTCAGAAGGTTTGGGGATGCCGATAAATGTACGCATGTCAAATGGCGATTAATTGCAAACATGCAAGCTCGTCATTTTTACACGTCTCATTAAAGCTCGTATTAGAGCTCTCTGCAGCAGCAGCAGCAGCAGCAGCAGCGCATTGTCATCGTCGGAGCTCATTTTTACCTCTTTTTCCTCTCTTTTGTACGTGCACGCACAATATCAAAAAGATGGTCGAAAAAAAACCTCATCTCTCAGTCCTCCCCTCGTGCGCATTTATTCGTGCGAAAGGAGGGAGAGAGAGAGAGAGCGAAAAAAAGGAGTCATTTTTAGCCTGCAAGCTCGTGTGTGTATGTGTGCGCTGCTTGAATTGGGCACTGCTGCCGGTGCTGGCGTGCACAGCATTGCATAGCTCATTCTCCTATACGCAAGCCCCGGTCTGGCAAGTGTTCTAAATCCCGCGGATCTTTATGACTACTCCGATAGGGCTGATATTTTCAGCGTGACAGCGTTTAATGACAAGGAAATAATGCGCGAGCGCGAACTCGAAAGAGGGATAAGTTTTCGAAACGGCAGGGAAGAGAGAGAGAGATCGAGAGCTATAGCGCACGAGATCACAAAAGAGGGATATTATATATGCAGCCGAAACTTGGCTTATACGACTCGCGCGCGTATGGGCGAATCGAGAGGCGCAGAGATCGCGAAAGATTTAACGCGTTAACTCTCTCTCGTTGGCTCAATACTTATATACGTTTCCCCCGCGCTCGAGAGAATCGTATCCAACTTTAGATATTTCTCCGAATTTCGCCGTGTGCCCATCGCATATATATGGAACGAAAATTTTATGCGGATGTTTTTCGAGTAGTTATGAATATAATTTTTGAGACGAGGCTTCATTCGTTCGGTACACACAAAGTGTGCCACTTATTCGCGATCAAAGTTTACAAAAAATATCTCGTTATTCGTAGCGTGGTGCAAATTTTAACATTTCAAAATGCCTCGTTTTTGCCCTGGGTTTTTAAAACAGCAGCAGCAGACTCGAGACTCGGGTAAAATATCCCTACACCTCTCGTTAACCCAGAACACGATGTACTTGTACGCGGCTATTCGACCATATTTCTAGAGAAAAAAAAAATGATACGCATTTTTAGCTTTTGCGTTTACCGAAAAAAAGCTCCGCGGCGACACTTTTTCTTTATAATTGGGCGGCGCAACCGCGGTCCAGGTCCATTACTTACATACATGCCTCGTAAATAGTTTAGTGCATGAATTTTCTTAATTTGATTTCGTCACGGCTCTCAAAGCAGTGCGCAAGTTGCAACCGGCGAGTACATCGCGCAAAAGCTCGACGCGAAAGCAATTTGTGCGCACGAAAAAAAAGATGTTTGGCACGCACGCGACTTTGTCATTTCCCTGCGTCGAGCTTTTGAGCGCGCGCAAAAAAAGCCCATTGGTGCACGGTAGCCTGGTCAAAAAAAAAAAAAAAAAATAAAGCTCTGTGCGCAAAATCAAATTACCATGATGTGTGTTGGCGCGCGGACATTCATACATTTATACCGGTGAACAAAAGAGAAAGAAACACGGTAGTATATAGGCGCGGTGCATCTCTCGAATGTCGTCGCGCGTACATATACACGGTATATTTCCCGACAATCGACGCGACTACTCTCCTTTCTTGCCAATGTATAACGTGCTGTATGTAGAGTCGAGTTGGGCATGCACACACACAGCCGGTGCTTCGCGCACGTATATACATATAGCATTGACTTCAATTATTGGAAGCTAGCTCTGCGACAGAGTGCGAGAACTGCTGCTGCTGTTGCTGCTGCGAGAGAACTCGAATGCGAACGACAGAGCGACGCCGCCGCCGTTGCTGCTGCTGCAGTAGCCTGACTCGCTACTATACATATATATGTACGAGAATCGAGTTATTTAGCTCGCCGACCGAGTCCATTGTCCGAGCTTCAATTGAAATTCTCACGAGTCTGATCTCTCTCCCATCTCCTCTCTTTCTTTCTTTTCGTTCTTTTTCGCTGCTGCTGCTACCCACCCTGCTTTGCGCCCGATGAATTTACATTCATTTTTTGCGCCCGTGTTTTCTACACACATCCGATTAAAACAAAAACAAAACTAAAAGAGAAAAAAGGAGCCCAGAGAGCTCCAACAACAAACAAAAATGAATTAATATATAAATATAATAGTGAATGAGAGAGACTCGACTGATGGCTCGTCGACGCGCGCCATTCATTCGCAGTTGGCTGAGCCCGCGCGCCTATATTATATAATATTTCATATATATGTATAGTATATATATCCGCGCGTTCGAAATTCGCAGCGATGTGCAGTCCGCCGCGGACGATTCCAACTGTATATATTGCGTTGGACAAATATCGATGATGATTGATTGGCATTAGGGAAATGTATACACACGCGTGTTATACGTGTATATCGATTGAACTATTGTGCAACAACGTAACTCTCGAACCGATCCGTCGAGCGTCCATTTTTCGTAATAAAAATTTATAACGTCGGATATCAGTCGCGCTCCGCGCTTGTCGACTTTTATTATGTACTTCCTTATGACTACCTTAAATTATCCTCGCGGCTGTGTATGAATTTTATCGAAGCGAATGTCGAGAATCGCGATGATTAACAAAAATAGAAAAATCTCCGCTCGATAGAACGTGACGGCTTTTTATCGTCGTAGGCACTCGTTGCTTTCTTATAGTTTCATATCGATGAATGCGCGCGAAAAATCGGCGCGCAAACGACAATTCGAATACAAGTAGTTCGTGTTCGATTATAGTCAGGCGAATGGCCCGAATGACTTTTCGAATCTCGTTTTTGCTATCTCTCTCTTCGTTTTTGCGCGTTTGTACGAGTTGAATCCCATTGAAGTTTTCAATTTTAATCAAGCTGAAATTCAACTCATTGACGCGCGTTCCTTACGCGAGTAGTATCGGATGAAAAAGTGTGCGTGCATATAGAGAGAGCGAATCGCTTGAAGCGTCATCGTATATAATACATAGATGCTCGTCGGGCGCGAGAAAAGTTTGATCGGCTCATTAGTCAGTTTTTGTGCGCCTATATATACGTGCGCCAACGTGCTCGCTCGTCTAAATTCAAAAAGCCAGAATAAAACTTTGATTCATTGCTATAATATATATGCCCCGAGTCTAGCCGAGGAGAGCAGCGCGAGATATTATTATATGTACAGTTGTTGTTGCTGCATATAATGCAGCCACGAAAGGCATTAAATATTGATTAGACAATTGGCTTTGTGTATTTCATTGGTCAGCTCAAACTCGCAAATCGTACGCGAGTATGCATACGCAACCTTCTATGACTGTACATTTATTATTACTTTTTTTACTATTGCTATACTATATTTCATCGAGTGCCGGGCTTTGTTGTGTCTTCTCGAGTTTACGATGTAATGCATTACTTATTATTTACTCGAGCCGTGTAATCTTCGTTTTCTTCTCGGAATTTTCAAACTGCCTATTAAAGAGGCAGTCTATTATTCACTGCTACGAACTCGTTTTTCATAAATCTGTTTTTAATCGTACATAGTGTGGATAACTTTTTTTAAGCTACATGTAGTTTCCAATTGAAATGTTTCGTTTGCAAATACTTTTGCTAGTTAACACGAATCCTCATAATTCAGTAAGCTCAATTACGCATAAGAAAAAAAAGAACTAATTGAGTAAGCAGAAATCTTGGAATCAACGAGCACAATTGCCAATAAATATAGTTTTCGCGCTCGACGCGATGCATATAATATATCCGGGCTGCTGCCTTATATTCACTCGGCAATTAACTCAATTAATTATATCAATCGCGTTTGTGCGTCGCTGGCATGATGTACAACTACTGCTATACGCCTGGTCGTATACATATATCGTGGACGTAGTAGTAGTAGTAGTAGTAGTAGTAGTAGTAGTAGTAGTAGTAGTAGTGGCCACAGTGTATAGGGTAATAATAGCACATTGATTAAATGAGAAAACTAATCTCATTAAAATTGGACTCGATAACGAAGACTACGACGACTACGACGACGTGCAGCAATTCCTATCAATGGAGTAGCAGTTGTCGTTGTTTTACAGAAGATGCAGATGCGGATTTTTATCCTTCGGCTTCGCTTATTATCGTGCATTTGTCTAATATATGCAGTCGAGCGTGATGCGCGCATAGGAGGCGCACACAGCATTAGAATATTGTGTGTCAGATCGAAAACGGAACAATCCGCGTTTTTATACACGAGCATTTTCCGGGTCGTCGAAGGATGCTCTACTAGAGGCTCATTTTTACATTTCGCTACGCTACATTTGTCTATGAGTATGCGCGCGAGCCGCGATTTTTTTTCTCTCACTGTTTTTTTTCTGCTGTCCTAGTCCTAGTTAGTCCTTTGTTCGGGTTTTTTTTTCTCCTTTTTTTTTTCGTTATAAACTCTACGGTGAGTCAGCTCGAGGATCATTTTGTCTTGACTGGAGAGAGATAATTGATACTTGCGTAATTTTTATGACAGTCCGCGTCGTTCTTTTCAATTGCACGTCCGCGCGCGCGTGTATACACCCGAGTGTAACTGCACAAAGTCAGACGAGACTTCGTTCGAGCGGCGGCGAATCCCGAAAAATTCGCTCGTTCGATGCTTTTCGTGTCGGATTTTTGAAGCGGGAGGGGTTTTTCGATCAAAAGTGCTTTTTCGTGTTACATCGGCTGAAAGTAGCGCAGCAACAGTGGCATTTTCTCAGCTCACGACCGAGAACTACACCGCTCCCTGCTTCTATGCTGTTGGCGGAGGGGAGACTGCGCGAAAAATTTCGTACGCGTATCTCAGGCAGGAAAATATGGCAATACAAAAAATCGAAATTTACTTGCAATCTTATTTTCTTTAGCAGGTAGGGGATATATTTCTGAATAACCAATTATCTTAGGATACTTGTTGATTGCTTCTGTACTTAATGCTAAAACTTTGCTTTTTCTCGTTTGGTTTTCGAAAATTCGGCCATACGCCATCTAGCGGAAACCCGTGAACTCAGACGTGCCTGAGAAAAGAGCAAACATATCGTAGAATTTTCAACACTCTTACCTCAACTCTCAATACATTAAAGTTTTGAATTTTTCAAGCATATAACGTTACTTTTAATGCTAATATTGTAATTAAATGTCACTAAATAACACTAGTATTCATGTTTTTTCTGATGATAAATTCACATATTGATAGAATGAATCTGCAATATTCGTAATTCGTTTGATTTTAATATTAGTATACTATTTCATTGACTTAAGAGTAGCTACTGTAATTTTCGAATAATCTTTAAGGCGATAAACCCGTTTCTTTGAAAAATGCACAGTATCTCTCGTACTCGAAATTTACGCTCCTTTATATAGTATTTACAGCGTAGAACGCCGTATTATAAATGAGAAAAGGCCCGGGGATGTATAACGTACCTTGCATCCTCGATAGGAAATTCTCGAACGGACTGCTGTTGAATTGGAATCTGAAGGGGTGCCAGATGCTGGGAATTTCGTCGTCATCCTCGTCACTGCTGCTGCTGCCGGCGCTGCTGCCGAAGAGACTCGTGTCATCCATGATATTTCGGCGCGGCAGTACCAAGAACAGGCCGTCGTTCCTCTCGTCGGTCTCGGACGACTCGGCCGAGCCGCGTCGAGCTCCTGCGAAGCGCATATCAAATTTCATTAAATATAACTTTGCGTGTACATAAAATCGCTAACTTGGCTAAAGTCAACTTCTTTTCCGCATATAGAAAAGCGATATAGAACAAAAAAAAAGGCAGCAGCTCATCTTTGCTCGGTTGTTCGCGAGCAGAGGACCAAGCTGCTGCTGCTGACGATTATTTAACTTTCGAGCGTCGGCGAGTGCAAGTAAAAAGAAAAAAAAGAAAGAAAAGATTATTCGTATATACTTTTTGCCTTGGCCCCAGGTTTTTGCTCATTTATCGGGGGGGTTTGACGAGCGCAGTACTCTCGGCAGCTCGTTTAATAGCGTAGCAATGACACAATTTCGTCAGCTGGCCGCTGCTCGTCGTCGTCGTCGTCGTGTGCGCGCATAAAGCGAAATTATCGACGGAATATACAGTACGCAGATAAAAAAAGGGTCAAAGAAAAAGTACGTGTGTGCAGAACGGGTAAAATGCACTAGATTATATATGTAGTTTATCGATCGACCCGAGAGAAAGAGAGAGAGAGAGTATAGTAGGAGGAGAGCAGCAGCAGCTAACGCACGATGATGGATGCCTCCGTCGTGCGTATGTATTCACATAGACAGAGCTCCGAACTGCTAGTCGTATACGCGGCGCGATTATCTTGTCGCGCATTTGTATACATTGTGTATATTATTAAGGTACACGACCAGGGGATACGTAATTGTTGTATTCTTGTATTTACGCGCGAAATTGAAAATAAAAGCAGATATTAGGAGAGATATCCATTGGAGAAAAGTACACACGACGATCAGGCGCTGCATCTGCATTTCTCTGCACTACAGAGACAGTTAGTACATTCGAGTCTCGAAGCTCCGATGAAATGATAAACGAAGAGCTCTAGCTGCAGAACGAAGGATACGCTCTCGCGAAGCTATATTCGAGCGATGAAATATGTAACACACAATGCAGTCACACGAGTGAAATAATTGCATTTCCGTATCTATATATACGACGGTTCGAGCGTACAGCTCGACGAAGCTCCGAGCCATTGTCCAATATAGCCTTCTCAAGCAAGCGATTATCCAATTTACACTGATTACGCTGTCAACTTGCAGCAGAAGCAGCAGTTATCCTCCCTCTCCCGTTCGCTCCGCATAGCTGCCGCTGCCTCTTGAGCTAGCTGCCGTTTTGACGTGTATCCGCAACGTCGCGCGCGCGGGAGCCCGGGCTAGGCGGTAATTTGTCACACGTTATAAAACGAGCGAGACGTCGCCGTCGAGCGAGCTATATGTACTCTTCTATTCACGTGTACGAATTGTGATCGAATAGCGATCCGATCGAGCTACGTGTGTAGAGAACATTTCACTCGACTCGGACCGATTTTTATCGATATAATTTCAAAAAATTGTCCGAAGGAACCGAGCCTCGAGCTTGCGAAACTATTTCGCTATTTTGAAGGTCGGGCAAAGACGATCGGAATTCGTTATAATTTTCGAATCAGCCGCGATTAAGCCATTAATTAGTTGACGATTTCTCGAACATTAGATTAGTTCAGTTATAATGTTATACAGGTAAAGATCCCCTCGCACGCGTATACATCGGTGACGAGTTCCTCGAGCTTCGACGTTACAATCGATATCGCGATTCGAGCGCAGAAACTCGCGTCGATTTTCCGAATAAATAATTCAAGTCGGTCGATCGTCCATTTTCGTCACTTAATACGAATGTACATAATTTACGTTTTCTCTTAAGTTGGAAACCGCGGCTAAAAGCAGCAGCGCAATAATGTATGCAGCATCACGTAAAAGGCGCGCGAGATAAGGATCTTCCCCGTCGTCGACGTCTAACGGCCGCCTGGGACTATTTCTGTTTATGAACTGCTTATGTGTACGTTTAACATTCGTATGTATATGCATCGCGAGAGAGGTGCGAGTTTCGCGTATTTGTACATAGTAAGTATAACGGCAGGTGCCGTGGGGCGCTTACCTATATCCCCCCCGTATATGTGTACATTATATAAATAAAACGCGGTGGTGGCTGCTGCGGCTGTTCCCGAAACTGGCGGCGGTGGCGGCGGCCGAAATTGGCACGCGCGACGTGTGCGGCTCTCTGCTGTTTTTGGGGCCGAGCGTTAGCGTTAACCTCCTTTGGGTTCTCTCTCTTTCTCGGCTCGCGAGACTGCATATACGTATATACTAGTAAGCAGTAGCTACTATACTATATAGGTGCATGTTTTGTATATAGCACACGTGCCTCTCTGTCGTCATACGTTGACTCGAGAGCTGCTTATATAGTAGTCCCTGCCTGGCATACATATAAGTAACCCATGAGGGTCCAGTTATCTGGCCTCTCTCTGCACATGCAGCGCAGCCAAGCTCGTGTACACACACCCACACAAGACGTATATCTCCGAACCTTATGTAAACTTTGAGCGCCTGAGCATCAATTCTAGCCTTGAATATATCCAGCTCTCTGTCCATCTCCCAGCTTTCTTTTTAGCTTCTCACTCTCTCTCTCTCTCTCTCTCTCTCTTAGGTTCGCAAGTGTGTCATTTCTTTCTTCTTCGCGAGGGCTTTTTTGCTCATTTCGCTCGAGCTTGCGGTCGATTTACAGCGCGAGGAAGTAATTTGACGCGAAAGCTCGCGCGCGCGAGCTTCTTGCGAGCCACGTCGGTGCTGGAGATAGATCAGCGCAAAATAATGTGTCCGAGCGATTCTCAGCTATGTGCTACTTGGACTTCGTGGGGGAATTTTTTTTCGTCGCAAGTTCGTTGTCGACTCGGAGCTTTTGGGGAGGGACGCGCTCGTGGCCGCAACATTTCAAAGGGGGTCGAGTGTGCCCGCTGCTCTTTCTAGCTCTCCAAGGCTCACTGACGACACAGCTCTCTCTCTCTCTCTCTCTCTCTCTCTTTATCGTTTGTATCTCTGAACATCGCATTAACGTAGCGTTTGTAATGTTCCAGCGCAACATTATGTATACCTCGCGGGGTGAGCCGCACTTTGCACTTTTCACGTATGGTATTTGGCATATTTGCTCAAAGAAAGATGGAGAGAGGCGCAGAGTAGTGCCACATTATTTGCAACAATTTTTATGCACACATACACACCAACTTAGATCTTATTTAGATTATTATAGTATGCTTTTGATGATAGTGTCAAGTATATAAGGAAAACAATTTTGACCCAAGTGCTGCACAGTGCATTCGATTCGACAGTTTACGGCATTCGTATAACGAAATACCAGATTTTTCATACTCGCGATAAAAGCCGTATGTTTTTATGTTTCAATCATTCACCACTAGAGGGCGAGTATACCTTTATCAACAAATCCGCAAGTGGTAAAGTAAAAATACAATTATATAAGTTGAATCACGGATTTGAAACTGTAATATTTTAATTGAATGAGTACAGCTATCATTTTTATAATTAAAAAAAAAGGCACGAGAGATGGATGACACGCACCTGACACAGCTTTATACAGGGCCAGAGTAAGTCGTATACGCATAAATTACGGTACGCAGTGTTGACTCGTGACGATAATTACAGCCGCGTCGAGTACATATACAGGGAGCTTTGCGCGTAACACGCGTGTGACAATTGTGCGACGGGCGCGCAGCTGAATTATTTGTAAAATATAATCGTCGCGTACGTTTCGGCGTTTCGAATGGCGTTATTCAGCCTGCATTGTGACACGGCCACGGGGATTGTCTCGGCCCGACATACGCGAGACTCACACATATCAGAAGAGACGAGGCAAAGCTCGGAAAAAAGATTTTCTCTCTCTCTCTCTCTTCATCCGTGAGCTCGTTGTTGCTCGATCGAAAGAAGACACGACGAGAGAAGGAAGGAACTAAACGCTTTTCATGCTCGCGGAGTCGTGGCAATTGTTATCCCCTACCCCGGCCGCCCGTTCAAACAGGCACAGCTCTGCACACATTCGTATTATATATACGTACACACGCATCTTGGTACGCAGCTGCAGGCGCAGGTATACAGGCGTGCGTGTGCGAACTGCACAATTGCAACGCGACGCGAGCCAAGGCGCAGTACTCCTATACTCCTCCTCGTGTCTCTCTCTCTCTTGCATTGTCAGTCCGGGCGGCGCGTTCCATTAGTAGCGAAGCGTACCTACCTACCTACCTACTACCTCTACTAGCTACTACGTATATAATGCAGAGAGACGCGAACGTTTATCCAAGCTGTACAGCTCTAATACCGAATACATATATAGCGTATATAGCCTTTAGACGCGTACGTATACGAGCTATGTCTCAGCCCCGTACGTGTGTCGGTTACGTATAAGTATATATGTATCGAAACAAGCAGGAAAATAAGACAATGCCGCGCGCGCGACTAGAATCCGAGGAAATCTTGCACGACCAACTCTCTTACTTTTCTCTTATATTTATTTGGCGCGCGCGTACATCTTGATTTTCGACGAATTAGTATATACGCGCTATCGAGTTTGTACAATGCACACCTGTTTGCATATGTACAGCGTCGCAAGCTCCAGCTCCTTTTCCTTCTTATTCGTGCGATAATACTTTTCTTCGATAAATCCAAGATGTATGTAATAACACGGGTTCGGTCAACGGCTGTCACGGTCAGTACCCCGATGATGATCGATAGCAGCAGCATTTCTCAGCAGTATGTACCCTTTGTCGAGATTTTTTATGCACGAGCTTGCGGACAGCCGACTTTCATACGTTCGACGTCGATAATGCTCACGCGTGTACATCGAAGATTTTATATTTTTATACGAAAAAGCTATCCGTGCACAGACATGCGGCTGACAAAGCTAGGCCGGGACAATAATCCTGCGCGCGTCTCTTTTTAAGCATTTTTAAGCGCGGCTGCTGCAGGCAAATGCACATCCCGCGCTGCATCCGAATCGTACGTACGGAATACTATTGCCGAATAAATGTGCATATACCTATGAGCTATACAGGCGAGAGGTCGAGCACTCAGCATGAACATTGCTGTAAATCGACGACGACGCTATTACTACGTA